CTGCCCTGATAATACTGTCATTGACTACCAACCCACCATCAAAAACAAAACACTACATAGAAAACTAAATAGCAAGCAATGTGATTCGACAATAAACTTGTAGTCCGGAAAGGTTAGCAGTTTCAAAACAAAAATCAGTTCAATAATATACCTTTGCTCTATGAAATTGATGAAAAAAACAAAATATACATGCAGATACAAGTAAAAAGATACACAAGTAAATCCACATTTCGGAATGGTTGCAGAAACTGAACGCAAATTCAGAAACTTTTCGTACATATATGGGACATGGTCACCTTCATTACTAAATTGATGTCGGTAAATATTTTATGATAAATTACATACAGTAACATCATACATATACGGTAGGAAGACAATATTTTTAACAGTGCCAAAGCCATTTGTACAAAATTTCACAGCATAAATAACGAAACATTTCAATTTTGTTTCAAACTACAAATGTATTCATAAGACAATTGTTGATCCTTTGAGTACAAAACTACATAGTACAATGTACCTTTAAGATAATTACTTCGAACACAAACATATTATGCCAACTTGAAAGTAAAAAGTCTATAGAAGTTACCATTTGAACAAGTCCATCATAGAAAAGACGGAATAGCAATAGGACAATAAAATCGTCACGTTTGTCATCTTTTTATATGAAGTAAAAATCAGACAAATCGTCAATTATACCCCTTTGTATCTTTCACGTGTATTTTTGATATAATTTTTTACAGGTAAATATATGTCTTTTTGTCGTCGTTGCTACTGTTTTGATGCAGAGCTTATAACACAAACAAAATTGATCTGGAAGGATCATCAGATCCGGAATCACCCCTTACACACGAGAAGGCAATGCAGCATACATCATACATCATATATTAAAAGCATGCACAAATACAGCTGTTTATACAGTTTATAAAGGACAGATGTTTATTGTATTGTATGTTTGTCATGTAGAAGATTACCGCTTCAGGAGGAAAAGGATTAACAAATTAATGAGCAGAACAAACTCATTTTGGTTCTAATTTGAACCTAAACATTTGCATAAGTCTTCCTGAAAAAAAATACCAAGCTGCTCCTTAGGGTTATTGTCAAATTTATGTACTGATCACGCAGATATTTCAATCAAACCAATGAACATTTATGTAAGCATGTTAAAGAGAGGCGGAGATACTAAAGGAATATTAAAAATAATAAGTCGATGACAAACCGACAACGCCTTGGCAAAAAGAAAACGAAAAACGACCAAAATACAAACAACAGTGTACAAAACACAACCTAGAAAACTAAGAATGAGCAACACAAACCCCACAAAAAAACTGGCGGTGATCTCAGATGCTCCGTAAGGGTCAGCTATTCCTGCTCCAAGTCTGAAACCAGTCGTGTTACTCTTATAAAATAAACAAGTGATATGACATCACGCATTTGCGGATTGGCTCTGACAAAATCATTATCATACACAATGGGCGACAAAAGTTTTAAATTTGGGACAAGCACATGAGCATGTTATATACATGTAGTTGCATATAGGAAAACAACTTTTTATGATTCCGTATATTATTTTGTAACACTTATGCACAAATCAGAACAAAAGGCTTCAAGAAACCAGTAACGCTCACCTATCAGTTTTCAATACAATTTAAACAATTCAACTAGATTTATTTTGGGTGTCAGCTGAAGAGTTCGGTCTTTCACTATCTACTGCAGTTTTCAAATAAATAACGCAAAAATCGGTACAATTCGTACAAAAGTACAAGTAACAGAAACGTCTTTAAGGGTTATGAAAACAACTTTTTTCAATTTGAGATGTTATATAGCTATAACAGAGAAGCAAAAGATACCAAACTCATAAGTCGAAAATAAACTGACAACTCCATGGCTAAAAAAAAGACAAACAAACAAATATCAGTACACAAAACACAACTAAAGTCTTGGCAACACGAACCCCACTAAACCCGGGGGTGATCTCAGGTGCGCCGGAAGGGTAAGCAGATTCTACTTCACATGTGGCACTCGTCGTGTTGCTCATGTTAATACAAACCTGGTGATCAGTCTAATTCGATAGGTCACATACGGGGAAAAGCGGACGGGATTGTAGTTACGACAATTGGATCACATCCGTTGACATCTGTGAAACAGATATTCCAAAACGGCCAACCAACCGGTGTATGCGTCCGTAAAATTTACAAAGGGATGATTTAACTTCACCACTTGTAACTCTTGGTTTAATATCTTCCTTGTAAGCAGCAATCCTCTATCAAGGAAATCATGATAGGAAATACAAGCCATGGAAAATCGTTTCAACTGGGAGATATATAATCCGTATACAGGTGCTACATAGAAAAGGAAAGCTCACAATAAGTTATGTAAGACTAAAATGTAGAAAAGGAAACATTTCATGGTTTGGTTTTTTTTTTATTTGAAAAATAAAAGTTTGGAGAAAACATGTCACTGAATAATCCTTTTTTCAATTTCTGAATTAGATAAACTCATCATAGATACCAGGATTTAAATTTGATACGCCAGACGCGCGTTTCGTCAATATAAAACTCATTAGTGAAGCTCGAATCAAAAATGATAAAAAGTCAAATTAAAACACGAAGTTGAAGAGCATTGATGACCCAAAATTCCTAAACTAAAACTTAAGAAGTTTGTTTCCAGTACGATATGTTATGCAAATACAGAAAAAGCCCACGGCTGAAAATTGTTTAAATTGATAGGATATTATCTATAGTTTGATTTTCGTCTGGTAGTTCAAAGTTTCTTTGGTCACATTTGTAGTTTTGTAATTCAGCCCATTTACGTGGTACCCCTCATATCATGGTTTTCGGTAGTTTTTTTTCAAATATTAGAAAATTAATGTTTTGTTCAATTTCAGGCTCTCATTGTAATTAGTTTCGATGCGTATCTCATCAAAGGTCCTCGGATTGCTGAACACATATATAAATTACCATTTGTGGAACAAATTTATTAAACTTATATCGGCAGTTTATGATTGAGGAATTTAACGCACTTTTTCTATGTAAACAAGAACAAAAAGATATCATTCGAAAAAAGGATTTTCTATTTGAGTGACAAAAATATGAGATTGAGATAGAGAAACTAGTCGATGTGAAAAAAAAGTTAAATCACAAAAATACTGAACTCCAAGGAAAATTCAAAACGGAAAGTCCCGAATCAAATGGCAAAATCAAAAGCACAAACACCTTAAACGAATGGACAACAACTGTCATACTCCTGACTTGCAATTGGTACAGGCAAATGGTCAAGGTCACATCTACATTTTTTGTGTCATAAATGGACAAACATCAGAAGGTTAAATATTAACCCCATTTTGAAATGGTGGCTCTTCAAACAAATATCCAAACTTATCACTTTGACATCCTTTGCAATTTATATCTGTGATAAAATCTTTTTTACTGATTATATCTCAGAAAATTTGTTTGACCATTGAACTCAATTTCACAAAAATGGGACCATACAGGGTTTTTACGACCAATGCAAACGTTTCTTATTATTCACCTTTTCCTCTTTCCAATGATATGCAATATAGGTGTGTGTTCTTCCGGTACATTAAACTCCGGTTGCAGTTTTATTAGCATGAATGCTGTTGCTGATTCCTGTTAATTATCTATCGTAACGCAATTCATTTTATATAGTAAATATAAAATGCATAGTGAGACAAAACTTCCTACCCATTTATTTTATTGAAATAGTGTTTTCATTTTTTTAAAAAGTGAATAACATGAGGTGGATTTAAATTGTGTAACACACAGTTGTGTGTCTTTAAATTTAAAACATTTTTGCCCATACCTTTGTTGCGTGATTAATGTTCCTGCTTTACTTGGTAAGATATGCATCTACATTGATTTTTCTTGGAATGCTAAATTTATATTTTCCTTGTAACAAATATTTTTATCTATTAAATTTAACTCTGAAAAAGCATTGAGATTGAAGAATTTGTCGTTAATATTCAGAGAGCTATATCAAATGAACGTATTGACCGTAAGTAAGGTTAATTTAAAGTTCGATACTTTTGTTAGTACATTTTGTTAAACAATCACATGATTCTAGTATTTGACAGTCAACATTATAAATTATCAATAGAATGCAAAGTATCTGTGAAGCTTTTATGTATCTATATATATCGCTAATTGAACTAATTCTGGTATAGCATTGTCATTTGGAGAGTTTCTATCTTATATTTATAGGTATCCTTGATGTTATTTAAATCAAAGTTGAATAATAATGTAAGAATAAAATTGTAGATATGTTTAAATAAATTATATAAACGAAAATTGACTTTTGATGCATTGTACTATGGTAAACAGAATTTATGGAATACTATCACCTAATGTTATTTAACACCTTGACGTGTTGACATATTTGTTTGTTTTTATATTGATTAAGATCATAACACAATGTTGACTGCTGTACCCCTATTTTTGACATTTTTACCTATTATGTCTGTTTGTTTTGTTCACACATTGTTGTCATAAAATGGAATGTTATGAGACTGTCATACAAGTGAGAGGTTTATACCTATAAAACCAGGTTTTAATTCACCATTTGCTGCATAAGGAAATGCCTGTACCAAGTCAGGAATATTACAGTTGTTTTCCATTCGTTTGATGTGTTTGAGCTTTTGATTTTGCCATTTGATAAAGGACTTTCCATTTTGAATTTTCCTTGGAGTTCGGTATTTTTGTTATTTTACCTTTGATTGGTAAGAATGTTAGCTCTCGAACAATCTGTCTGACTACAAGATATATCATACAAGTACAAAGCGGAACGACCGATCTGAGACTTCCTGTATAAAGGCAAAGCAAAATATCACGTAAAACGCATACTAGAAAATCAATTTTCATTTTTTTTCTAGATCGAAATCTTGCATCGTGTTTTATAACCCAGAGGACAATGAAATTCATTGTTGAACAATTTTAATATTTTATTGTTCACTGAAAGGATAACTATCTATTCTTGTGTGCATTGAGCATAAACACAGATCTTGATTGATCAGGTGCTTCAAATCAGATTTATAATAACCCGAAAAGTTTCCTTTTATATGATTTAGTGCAAAAAGTTAAAAATGGAAGTGATCTTATTCTATTCACATTTTAAAATAGACCTATAGCAAGGTGAAGGTATATATTGAAGTATTTGTGCAAAATCCAAACAACTTTAGAATAAAGAGGATGGGAGTGAACTATAGCAGCAACCTAAAAATGTGTAAGCCAAGGATGCGTAAATATTCTGAAACGTTAGGAGCTATATATATGACTTAAAAAGACCTAAACAGAATATCCAAATACATCTATCGTAAGCTTGAGGTCAGGGAGCGGGAACCGGAGTTTCTTAATAATTTCTAAATTTATGAACTGGGAATTCCAATAAGTATATGTTATAAATAATGTCAGAACCGTAGTACTGTTATTGTTGAATTTTGGCTTAAGTGATTAATAAGTTTCACATAATTTTAATAGTACAAATCATTGGCAATCGTACCACATCTCCTTGTTAAACATATTGTGTAATGTAACATGAATTGAAGTTAACAGACACTGATCAGCTGTTATGTTAACAATCTAACAAGATATCATTTAAATATCAAGGGTGTTAATCTAGGTCAATTGTCTATTATTCATATTTCAATGAATCGTGCAGGTATTAAATATACCTTGTATCTCTGTCGTATTAAATGTATTCATCAATATAATTCATATAACATTAGTAAAACATGTCCTTGTGTATAACAAATGAACATGTAAAATTGACATATATTGAGGGTTCTGTCCCTCCTTACGGTGACTTCTAGATGTCCTATTTGTTGTTCTTGAGATCAAATAGGTAATGTTCAATCTATCCACATATTTCGTTCTCAATACAGTTGCCTTATCATGTTGTCTCTAGAAGATGTAGACATGTTGGTTAGTTCTCTCTATAGTGATCAAGTTATTCGTTGCATTTATTTGGTTATTTTTAGTCAAATTTTCGGAATATTCCTTGACTCTTAAGGTAAGTAGTAAAACATCCATTCTATGAGATCTTTGTCCATCTTTTTTTTTGTATTCAGCTCTGCAACGTTTGTGGAATTTTTTTTATTTTCAAATATTTTGTCCTGTAGCATCACTGAAGAGACATAATTTCCGAAACGCGCATCTGGTGCTGTAAAACTGGTACAGTTAAAGTTATTTCATTTGTAAAAAAATAAGTTGGGAAGGCTACTTTTTAAATGAGACTGAATCGGGCACTTAAAATGTATTAACTAAACAAACATACGCAGATCTCTAAAGCTTAAACAAATGGCCAAATTAGAAAAGGAGAAAACATTAGCAATCAGGCGAAAGGTTCTCTGAAATTAATTTCATCAACATTTGTTATGGACAACATATTTCTTATGTTAAACCCAGTGATCTATTAAATTATTCACCTTTTATAATTCAAAAGAGATAGATGACATAAGATAGAGATTAATATATTAAGAATTAGAAGCATTTATAACAATAACATTCGACATTAAAGAGTATGCTTGGATGTCAAAGATAAGAGATCATAATATTACCTATTACTCTAATATTTTGACAATAGAAATCAAGATAGATTATTGTTAGGAAGTAAACATTTGAATAACTTTGAATAGAAGTATCCTGACAATAATCTATAGACCGTTTAAAGAATTAAAGGATATCAGTTGACTGTAACGCTACTTAATATTCTTACCTTATATATTTGTATGATTATTTTCATCAGATTTATTAAACAAATATGATATCAACGTATGTTATTGTATTACTTCAGAGTATATCATTACTCATAACATAAGATTGATCACTATCTATGCATTGCAACAAAGTTAGTTAAAAGGCTGTTTGACAATTATGTTTCTTAATATTGGATAACTATATACCTGAATCATATAATCAAAAGTTTCTTACCAAAGGTTTTGTTATTAGCTCTTTTGTAAATATTTTAGTTTTGTATGTTAAATTTACACTTTCCTCTCATTTACCAAACAAACGAAAATATGACAGTAACCACAATAATCTATACTAGGATAGGCGGGAAACGATCTACGATCAATCTAATGACTATACGAAGCTAATTTGTAGAAAATTCTTTATAGCGGGTACAATAGTGTCGTTCATGGTTCTTTGTATGGTTGGAAACATATTAAATTTTAAAATGGTTTGTTCCGTGAATTCCTGCATTGACCCCCATTTTGATGGAGTTCATGTTACTCATTTTTTTTTAATTTTTTGTAGTTATTTTTTTAATCCTGTTTGTCTTTTCGTCGTTTTCATTTTAGCTATTGTGTTGTCTGTTGTTTTCTGTTTTTTGTTTGTTTTTTTTTTTGGACTGAGGGTTTTTGATTAACTTTTACCCCTTTTTCTGTGTTTTGTCTTCTGGGAGAATTACATAATATTTGGGCTTAACCACTTGTACAAATCTCGTCGAGTTTCGTTTTACCTCTTCCTCCTTTCTCAATTTTATTACTTCCTCTTTCGTTGGTATTTTATAAAAAACAAAAGTATGTCTAATATTACAGGAAATTAAAACAAATATAACAAAAAACATCATTTACTTTGTAGAGCAGTTGATATATTTCAATGGAATACTCCAAAATGGTTGTCATATGTTTTTGCTTAAACGTGTTGTTGATTGTTATGGCTATCGCCACCACTGAAGTTATATATACTAAACACGAAAATGGTAAGTCATACAGAAAAAATGCATGACACAGTAAGTTATTTAGATCATAGAATGATATGGTGAATTATTCTTAACAATAGTATGCTAACGTACATAAAAAAAACTAAATATAAACACGCCAAATTTGTGTTTTCATATCGAACGCTCCGATAAAAAGTTAGAAAGAACAAATAAACTCAAGACTTTCCATCTTATATTTAACCCACCATTTTCTTCTGAAAATGTCTGTACCAAGTCAGGAATATAACAGTTGGTTTCCATATGTTCTGATGGTTGATATATTCGGGGGTTTGAATTCTAAACTAAGTATGGACTTATTAAAAGTATGTAACCTTTTTAAATGTATCTATAGAAGATGTGGTAAGATTGATAATGGGACAACTCTAGATCTCCAACAGATACTAAATGACGTAGAAGTTAACAACTATAGGTTACCGTACGGCCTTCAACAAAGAGCAAAACCATTACGGCCGCAAAAGATCAATGTAAAACTATTCTAACAAGAAATTGATATATTTACAATACAATAAATGAAAAACAAATATGATATAAAGCACAAAACGACAACCACTGAAGCTACAGATATGCTATCCCGTTTGAAATAAGTTTTTCACAGCCAAACCACATCTTTGTATCTATTTAAGAATTAGATAAAAGTTTAAAGTATGTGGGAACACTATCCGTGACTTGATAATTTACCAGTAATACATAGATTAAGTTCATTGAAATCCAAAACGTCACTACATTCACTGGTATGTTATGTATTGAACAATAGCCTTAACATTTGAAACCGTTTAAAGTGAGAAATTACTATTGCAACTAAAGTTCTGCCATTTTATCTGTAACAAAGAAACAAGGGGCAATCCAAACCCTAAACCGTAATAAAAAATTACAAAACTCATTGTCCAAAAAGACAGTCAACAGTCCACAAAACGCTTCACAGGAACTAAGTTCTAAGCAACACAAACCCAATCGGAAACCGGGTTAAACTCAAATGCTTCCGTTTCTATTAGCACCCGTCATTTTAGTCGTTTTAAGTAAAAGTTCGATGATAAGTGGCCTTCTGTGCTATCAGAAAACGAGAACGGATTAGAGGCTATAACAGAGGAACATATCAGTGGTCGTCTGTGTCAAAATATTCAAAATAGATCAACCTATTCATGATAACGTCCATATAAATTTCCAACGGATCACTTCTACTTTACCATTCGATACCCTTAGTTTACCTCCAACCGGAACGCTCAAACTTGAATATTTAGAAAGTTCTATTAATTATTACAGTTAGTTATGAATGAAGGCGGTTTGTTGAACCAGGTTTTACATCGTGCCAAATCTCTTGTTTGTTCTACATTGAAATAAGAAAAATAAAATGATACAAATGTTACGCAATTTCATGAAACACATTGTACTATATAACATTTTACTTCCAGTTTCTGTAGGAAGATTTAAAAATACCAGCATGTGTGGCGTATTTTCACTTACACAAGATGAGAAAACATTCCAAATCATATCCGATGGGCATCATATTGACCCTCCCTGCTCACTTTATCTCATTGGTGTGAATAATATAAACAACAATTACAGTTTTTCCGGCATGTGCTTTAAAATGTCTGCTATAGCGTTACCTTGTGGCAGAAATGATACACTTATTTTAAGAGGATGGGCTTTGGATATTCGCCATAAAGACCAGTCAATATTACTGTATGCAAATCAAAGTATGGTAAGTCAATGATAGTTCAATCTGAAGAAAAAAATGCTATCATTACAAATTTATTATTCTAAAGGTTATATTTATGGATGTGGAAGAAAGCTCTGTAATTATTTTTTGGGGGGATTTTTTTATTAAATATCAGTTCAAATTTTTTATATTAGATATAACCGGATTTAAAACTTTAAAATATTGTTTTGGTCTTAAATTTTTTATTTATTTTTATTTTACCTTTAGTTTCCAATTTGATTGTTTTCGGGTCATAAAATCAGACAGGAAAAACCCATTGAACGGAATATATTTTTCTCAAATTTTTTATCCTGCACGTGCTTTACTTATGATAGCTTCGAAAAGCATCTTTTCATTTGAAAGTTAATCAAAGTTAAAGTATTTTGGAGTACGTTATTGTCTGTAATAGGAATAAAATGGGATATACATATATAATTCATATTTAATGAAAATACAAATTTGTTGCTACCGCACGGCTAATATAGATTTACCTCCATCAGTAGCGCTCATACCAAAAAAAAAATACAGTCAATAATTTATAACAACCTTACCATGCAAAGAGCTATATGATCAGAAGGGGCACAAAATAATAAAGAAAGGGGCTTTGAACCTTAGTAATTTAACAATTGATCAATTAATCAAACGAGAATTTAAAAACTATGGTTTAATCGTTACAGTACTAAAGCACCGACTACTTAGCTGGTGAATCTCTACAGATGGTAAAACCCTGTGCTAGAAAACTAAAAAAAGGACTTTGTTGCGTCCGAAGAATATATATGGATTGACCTTTTTCAAGGAAAACTCGTTTCCCTACGATAAAGAAATGTCTAAAGACGTCTATGGTTTGAAATTCTTCAAAATTATACAGTGTCAATATATAGGCGAAGAAGCTATTTATTATTTTCCTTTTCTTTTTTTTTTTATTGCACTCCTAACTTATGTTCTATATAAAAGTCTTATATACTAGTATTTGATTCTATTGATGCCGAAGCAAAACGAAATCTCGACTTTCAGAAATGTATTTGCTGGTTTATTGGTAATGTGTTTCACTGTTTCACCTTTGTTATATACCAATTGTCGGTTATCTTCCTTTGTGTAGTCCTGTATTAGACTGACTGTTTAACATCCGTCTATATAATGAGTATCGGATTGATTGATTGCTTGATTGGTGTTAAACGCTACTTTCAGCACCATCGTGCTATTTTGAAGCGGTCAGTTTTTATAGGTGGAGGAAGCCGGAGTGTCCGGAGAGAATACCGACCTTCGGTAGGACAACTGGCGTCCGTTTCGAAGGAATAGTTTCAACTCTTTCACTTGAAACCCTTGGTTCAATAGCTTCCTTGTAAAAAGCAACTCTGTTTCCAATAAACTATGATACTTGTAGGAAATGTATGCTCCGGAAAATCTTTCGGAAATATATACTCCGTATGCAAGCGTTGCTGGGAGGTTTCTTAGAAGGAATTGAACGTTTTCAATATGGAAGTTTAAATCACCCATTTTGTCGAAAAATTTTGTTTCCTACAGGATTGCCTTGTCAATTTTAGATTTAGGTTAAGTCATGATCAAGACTTTACTGTATCTGTAATATTCTGGTATTTTCAATTGAAGAAAACATCAGAACCATGAAAAATAAGCATGGAAGTGATAATCGCTTGTGAATAAGCATATTAAATTGGAGAAGTATAAAATAATACAACGTATACAAATGCGATCAAATTAACTAATCGATTTAATTACAAAAAGTAACATGTTATCTTTTTGATATTACGGTTTGAGGCTATTCTGTAGTCCTTACTGAGAAAAATATTGTCTATCCTTGCTTATGTTTTTGATTCTGTAGATCTGTGATGTTAATATTATTTGATGTTTATTCAATACACATCATGTCACCAATGCACTTGCCTTATAAGGTAAAGTTTTCTTTTTTTCCAGCTTGTTACAGAGAAAATCTTAAGATGTGACAATAAACAAGATTTCACAATGAACTATGAATTCTGTTGGGAGAAAATATCTATGTTAGAGATTTTATTCTACAGTCAAAACAAGCCATCTTCAGCTTTACCAACGATCACTGTACAGTCGGGCGGTAAGATTTTTAATTTACATATCGCAAAAACTTTTGAAAACAGGTTACAAATTTCGATCCTAATTGACTAGGATTACCAGTTTTCCTCCCCAATGTCGATGGTTCTCTGTGGATACTAATAGTGCTCAAAGTGGCGTTAAACACCAACAATCAGTCATTTAATTAAAATGTGTCGCACAAAACCCTGAAGTCATAGAAATGTATTAAAAATTACCGAACGCCAAGGCAAAATTCAAAATAGAAATAAAGATAAAAGAATATATTGTTCATGATTTGTTTGCATATAGGGAAACACCTTGCAGGTTTAATTTTCAGGTAAACATCTTTTATCTTACCTGCTGTTTTAAGTTTTTGGCAAAATGCTTTTAAAAACATGATTATTTCATCCTGCCCGTTTCGTAATAGTCAAATTTCTAACATTTTTCCTTAGAATTACACAAAATATTGGTAAATATCCGTTTTCAAAGACATTTTTGTTTTAGATCCAAGAAGGTAAAAGACTGGATTATCCGTAAATTTCAAAAAATTTATATTTTCAATTTACAACGTAGGGAAGTAATTTAATCAAAATGGTCTAGGTCACGTGGTGCAAATCATATGCATAAAGTACCTATGATTTTATCATATGCCGATGTTGCCAGTATGAAAAGAACAAAAGACAAAAACCAGTACACTATTAATGACTACTCAGATTCAACCATCTACAGCCCCACCCAGTTATAATGATACTGATGATGAATACGCAGTACTCGCCTGATCAACGACCTTTCTTTCTTTCATGTACATTTTCAGTGAGATGATAAATGCGACGACAAATTGAACATATCGTATGTTCTCTGTGACAAACATACTCCATGACAATCAGACAAATCGTAATGGAGTCGGTAACCTTCAGGTTCAATAGCTTCTTTTGTTGGCTCAAATAAAAAAGGACACCCGAGTAAGCCCTACAATGCTGTATAAACTGCAACCAATTAATAAATGTAAATACTTCCACATAGCCTCAAAAGAATAACACCGTAAAAATATTTGATCAGTTGATTTTCAAATAAATATCCGTTTAAATAAAGTCAACAGTAGTATACCGCTGTTCGAAATTCATAAATCGATTGAGAAAAAAACAAATCCGGGTTACAAACCAAAACCGAGGGAAACACATCAAATATAAGAGGAGAACTACGACACATCAGAAACACAACATTAAAATGTAACAAACACAGAAACGAACTATAATATAACAATGGCCATTTTCCTGACTTGGTACAAGACATTTTAAGAAAAAATGGTGGGTTGAGCCTGGTTTTGTGGCTATCCAAACCTCCCGCTTTTATGGCAATTAATGTTAGATATAACATTAAAATGACAACATTACATGACAGGACTACAATACAAATAAATGGGAGAACATATAGGACAGAAAAACATACGAATAATAGCTAACAAAAGGTACCAGGTTTAAAATTTAATACGCAAGACGCGCGTTTCGTCCACATAAGACTAACCAGTGACGCTCAGATAAAACAAGTACGAAAGCCAAAACAAGTACAAAGTTGAAGAGCATTGAGGACCAAAAATTCAAAAAAGTTGTGCCAAATACGGCTAAGGTAATATGTCTGGGATAAGAAAATCCTTGGTATTTAACATCTGCTTATATTTATAACATCAGGAGTATACGTGTGGTGAATGTATATAGACAACCATACAGAAGGGAATATAAAAAGGGGGGAAAATGAAGAAGAGACATGAGTAAAAGGAAAGTTAAATTTAAGAGCAGTTAAAATAATGTCTTTTTTTGTTACCTCGCTAAAGACAAAACTGTCGCCCAGCATGACGTAAACAAATCTACCTGCTTTCAAAATATTTTTTGACTTTTAATGAAATGTTAAATGTGGTTTGTAATTGAAGCATATCTCATTCGATATGTTCAGAAGCCGTTATTTTAAAGGGGAAAACAAAATCAGTAGAGACTGCACATAGGATTGAAATCGATCAGGTGTCTAGAAATATACTCATTTCAGATTTTCAAAAAGTGAATATTTAGCTTGTGAAACCACGAAAACCTCATTTGTCAAATTAAAATAAAATGCTTGACCCAGTTCTTGTGATGGAATTTTGAAAATCTTTTGTTGTTCTTATGAGGGTCATTGGTTCTCTTTTGACAATCATAATTGTTAACACACTGAACAAATCTAAGGAGTAATATTATCAATCAAAATGTTATTCATTCCTACAACGTTTATCTGATTAATCAGAGTTTATGTATTTCCTGTGTAACAAGCAGGTTAACAGGGATCCAAAACAATATTTTTAAAAAGCCTTTATTCAAAAAGATTCGTCTGCGTAGTACCTGTTTACTCTGTAACATATTACGGCACTGTTTCAAAATGGACTTGTAAAGCCAAAGAATTAACATGATACACTAAAGTAAGAAACAAACTCATCATAGATACCAGGATAGAAATTTTGTACGCAAGACGTTCGTTTCGTCTATAAAAGATTCATATGTGACGCTCGAATTCAAAAATGTGTGATAGGCCAAATAAAGTACGAAGTTGAGGAGAATTGAGGAACCAAAATTCCGAAACGGTTTTGCCAAAATACAGCTAATGTAATATATTCCTGGGTTAGAACATCCTAGTTTTTTGACAAATTCAAAGTTTTGTAAACAGTTAATTTATTATTAGGACCATATCAATGACAATGCATGTCAACACAGAAGTGATGACTACTGGGCTGGTGATTCCCCTGGGGGGACCTCCATTAGCAGCGGCATCAACCCAATGGTTGTAAATAAACTCATCATAGATACGAGGAACTTGGATGAAAACAATTAAACAGACAATGCGTTTCTCGGGTTGTTTATGACCTCATAACACTTAATCCTTTGAATGCGTACTGATTGATATTGTAGCACGATAAACATGATTTGCATGTTATTGGCAGGACCTAAAAGCACTCCTAAAATGGGCGTGTTTTGTCTTTTTTTGTGCTATTCTGATGAGCTAAACTTTTCCAACTAATTTTTGCAGTGTGTTTTTACGTGTTATGCTTCACGACTGTTACAGGTCTGAAGTAGTGGTTTTTTTGTTGTTGATGCTGCGTAAATCATTCCGTATATTTTCTCATTTAGCACATTTTCAATCCGGGACATCTTATAACATACGGGTATGGGTGTTTCTCATTGTCCAAGGTGATACGGTAACCTTAACTTCTTTTCATCGACGTCTTCTGGTCTCTGATGGATTGTTGTCACATCTTCAAATATTTATCAACAAACAATATGCCAAAAGGTTGGATATACAAGCAATACAAGTTTATAGATATACAAAACTCATCAATCGATTATGATAAATCGAGACAAAATAAAAAAAAAACTGAGTGAAACGCATATACTCCTAAGAAGAACGAGACAGGGTGCATCGACATGGTTTCGCTTCTAATACATATATAACTCGCTATTCGAATCCACACTCAATCAAACGTTACATTCTGGGATAGGACACAATCGTTAGAATTACAGATTGTGCAGCTAGTCTAAATATGTAAGACTGCGAAAACATGTAGCAAGTGAGTTGAGACACAAACATGTCGTATCGGTCAAACACTTTTTGATAGTCATAATTATGCTTATGAAGGGTTAATTTCATTCACTTTCCCCGATAACTCTTTGGAAAAGCTTTTTGTGTAAGGAGTATACCCCTGAAAATGAAGTCCGTATAGTATGAACATTCTCGAGCAGACTGTGTCAATTGAGATTTGTAAACACCTCAACAATGCCGATAAATGGTCAATTAACAATTGGAAAGTTGATATCATCATGTTTGTCATAGATTCTAAGTTGAAGTGAAAAAGCATTGCATGACCCATAATATATTAAAAAGTGTAAGAATATCATTCTCTGTACTCCGGATTGAACTTTTAAAACGATAGATGTTTTGTTCTAACCACTGTTTTACATCTGGCATTTGAATAAAACTACTTCAGGAATATGTTTTATTTCACATTATATCTTTTATATCCGCATAAATACATAATCTCTATATTTTTAGTGTTAATTGGCCCAACATATCCGGCACTAAGTTTACATGACATGGAAACAATGAAAATACAGATGGATGAATGCAAGACATGTAAAGTAACAGCACACCAAATGTATCTTGATTTCCTTGATAGAGTTATTTTGATTGCCAATAATAATAATAACAAAAACAATAAGGACGATGACAAAAACGAGGAAGAAACCAGTTCTGCTAGTGTTGGTAAGTGTGTATCATATTGTACCATCGATTGGATATTATCGTCTCACTACCGAAATTAGTGGAAAAATTCTCGCGACAATTTCCATCTTTACTGTATTCATATTTTCAAATGCTGTTATTGTTCTAATATTTCTAACCTTTGAACCAGTGACTATTTCCATTTCAAAAGATTTCAAATATTATTTCAAGGTAAGACGAAAGAAAGAAAAATAGGAATCGTCAAGTAAAATCAGGCAAATGAAAACATTGAAAAAGTGGAGAAAGATATCAAAGGGGCACTCAGACCTCATTTAGAATTTTCCTTTGAGTTGGGTATTTTTGTTATTTTACTTTTTTTCTCATTAGTTGAAGAGAGACCAAGAAAATCGTGGAAAATTAAAAAGCAACATAAGTAAAACGATGTTCAAATTTTATAATTCATTTATAACATTAACGGTATTATTGTTATCGCAGCAGATGCGCATTATGATAATCAATGTCTCTTCAGTGATGTTCGAGGCCAGTATATTCGAAATCCAGAAGGTATCTTACTGCTGAGAAATAAGAAGTTGATAATTGGAAGGTACAAATCATAGCATTTGTCGTACAGTCTAGTTCTTATTTATCCTCCTATGTCCAAGACATTAAACAGACTGTCTTCCTTTCAATGCATATGCCCTGTTGCAATTAATCAACATAACAATTATTGCTTCACACAAACATTATCCAAAACAAAATACTACTTAACCGTATGTTAATATGTTTTTCTTGTTGTTTACCCTCATGAACATGATTAAATTAAACAAATGACATAAAATAGATTAGACAAAATGTTTCCAGGCCAAACCAATACTTCAAAAAGACAGTATTTTCAAAGACGTGTAATATAGACAGTTTGATATATTTAGCGATATGCCAAGTCAGTGTATCATGGATTTCCTGCGAAACTGTTTAAACGAGCGATCATCACAAAGAGTAAACAAAGAGAGAAAAAAAACTGAAAACTCGTTTTTTCAATAACACTGAGGTAAACTTCAAAGTAAAATCTACGGTCACTTGTAATGTCTACTGAAATTGGAAATAAATAAAGATTAAGCGTGACGTTTACATAAATGCACGTGTTTGCATATCATGCTTGGTCTGCATCAAGTTGTACATGTGTATAAACTTTATTGCCAATAGAATGAATTATTCAGTTTAAAACTTAGTTTACCTCTTGCAATTTTGATGTAATAGCCCTTTAACACGTTGGATAACTGTTAGCTGTATAACAAAGCAATTTTAAACACATTCCTTTTATTTGGTTGACAGAATTCCATTTTTAAAAGAATACACATAAAAAGGGTAACACCATGATAATTTCAACTATCAATCGTTAATACAGTGCGAGAATCACTTCTTAACAGATATGTGTCTTTTTAGGTTGTAATGTTACACTACTATTTCGGGTTTGAGTGAAGGTTGGCGCCTGTTAAAACTTTTAAACCCGCTGAGTGTTTGCACCTGTCCTAAATCAGGAACCTGTTGTTCGTTGGTTGTCGTTTGTTTATGTGGTTCATAAGTGTTTCTCGTTTCTCGTTTTTTATATAGATTAGACCGTTGATTTTCCTGTTTGAATGGTTTTACACTAGTCATTCTGGGGCCCTTTATAGCTTGCTGTTTACTTTTTACACTTGTGACTTGGATGGAGAGTTGTCTCATTGACACTCATACCACATCTTCTTATTTCTATGGCTACTTCATTAATTTGTATAGATAAAAATGTAACCTGGTAGATGAAGTTTACCTTCTTGCGAATAATGTTGATTTTTGCTAGTGTAATCATAAACTTTAATTTTTCCCTTTTAGATCTAAATATATTACTACCCTCTCTGTTTGGTACTATAGCAACTGTTGCAGTAGCAGTGGTAGGAGTGGTAGGCGTTAGATGGAAAAGAAGTAAGATTGTTATATTACTAGAAATAAGAAATAAAAATAGGTCTTTTAATATCAGTTGCATATAAATAAACTCAACATAGATACTAGGATTAAAAATTTTAACTCCAGGCGCGCGTTTCGTCTTCTAAAGATTCATCAGTAACGCTCGAATAAAAAAAGCATATGTAAGGTGCTAAAAACAGGTAAAATGCGAGATTAAGCGAGTATTTTTTCTGATTTGAGTCGAGTACAAGTACTACATAATTAAACACGAAACACATTTTTTTTTCTTATCCTGGAAATACATCAATGTTACTGCTTTCAGTCATATTTGAAGTAATGATTATCGTTTCAAGATTAAAAATCGTTTTTCATTAACCTTTTTGAGGTCACTCATATAAGTATTTTAAAGTTATGTGCATTGACCTAAATGATCGATACGCGAAAACATAATCATGCATTGTCAATTTAAATACATCGTTTCAAATGAATAATTGTTTTTGTATTATAATAATGAGGTAAAAAAATGAGAAATTATCAATAAAACTTTGACAGACTTTGTGCTGAAGTATTTGTTTCCCTACGATTCTGGACTATCGGCGGAATTATTTGATGTGGTTAGAGCTTTAAATGACATGATAAACGTATAATGTATGAATATAGCACAGCTATATCCGCTGGGTTTTAGTTGTAACACAAGATACTCAATTGCAGGATAAGATGGCATACTAACCATATTTTACACTGGCTCGATACTGCTGCTGGTGGTCTACCTCTGTCGGGGAGTCTCATCAACTCAGTAATAAGCGCCTAGGTACTGACATTTAAAACATACATTTCCTTAATTCTCAATCGATAACTCTAAAATTGTAGGAAATTACGATTAAAATTACGTAAAAAAATGAGAAATTATCAATAAAACTTTGACAGACTTTGTGCTGAAGTATTTGTTTTCCTACGCTTCTGGACTGTCGGCGGAATAATTTGATGTGGTTAGAGCTTTAAATGACATGATAAACGTATAATGTACGAATATAGCACAGCTATATCAGCTGGGTTTTAGTTGTAACACAAGACACTCAATTGCAAGATATGATGGCATACTAACCATATTTTTTCACTGGCTCGATACTGCTGCTGGTGGTCTGCCTCTGTCGGGGAGTCTCATCAACCCAGTAATAAGCGCCTAGGTACTGAAATTTAAAACCCTCATTTCCTTAATTCTCAATCGATAACTCTAAAATTGTAGGAAATTACGATTCCAACTCCCTCAGGCAAAGCTAGGTTTATATAATGATTATTGGTGCTTGATCCCTTCGAAAATTTAACAAACGCCATCATAAATTGGTTGACGATGGATATGTTCCAATTGTCTTTTCTAAACACAAAACATTAAGATATCGTTTGCTGACGCTTGTTTCTGTTGTCCATTCAGCTGAACATAGTTGAAAGCATAACAAAATAAGTCAGAAGCCTGTAAATAGTGGTTGTCGATTGTTGCTCTATATCATATTTGTTTTTAGTTTATTGTTTTGTAGATGAATCAGTCCATGATTTTTTTTTCTCATCTGAATTGTTTTACCCACCATTTTTTTCTTAAAATGTCCTGTACCAAGTCAGGAAAATGGCCATTGTTATATTATAGTTCGTTTCTGTGTGTGTTACATTTTAATGTTGTGTTTTTGTTGTGTCGTTGTTCTCCTCTTATATTTGATGCGTTTCCCTCAGTTTTAGTTTGTAACCCGGGTTTGTTTTTATCTCTATCGATTTATGAGTTTCGAACAGCGGTATACTACTGTTGCCTTTATTTACATTATTAATTTTTGGACTTTTATAGGTTGCTATATGCGATATGGGTTTTGCTAATTTTTGACGGTCGTACTGTGATCTATACTTGCTAACTTCTATGTAATTTGATATCTGATTGAGAGTTGTCATTAGGAATCATACCACATCTTCTTATTCTTATAGTTATTAAAAAATGGAATCAGAATTGTATGCTCGAAAAACTAAAATTTTGACAATATAACTTACTGAAGACAAAATCATAGTAGTGAGATAAGCATCTAACAAGTGTTTGGACTTTAAAGTAATGAATAGTAAAATATTTAAAACAGTTCTCCGATTTTCGGTACTAACAGTTGCGTACGATGTACGTTCTGTCAGTTTTTTAATATCCGTTTTGCGCCGATTTCCAAATTTGTTTTGCTCCAATTCGATACTTTTGATCGACCTTTGTAAGAATTGCATGTGTCACAACATTCTACCGTAAGCGAGTCGGAAGATATGTTTGTATGACACATCACTTTTGCATATCATATTTTTACGGAATCAAAAACACTACTCTTTTCTTTGAATCAATATTTATAGATTATTTATGTTTTTTAAACGAGATGCATTTTCTCATTCTCATCTCAGATTAGAATGAGAAAATGCATCGAGTCTAAAAATACACAAATAATCTATTTATCGCTATTATGTGTATTTTCTAATATTATTCAATACAAACTACAACAAAAATATATCTAATACAATAATAAAATTGAGAATAGAAATGGGGAATATGTCAAAGAGACAACAACCCGACCAAAGAGCAGGTAACAGCCGAAGGCCGCCAATGGGTCTTCAATGCAGCGAGAAAATCCCTCACCCGGAGGTGGTCCTCATTTGGCCCCTAAATAAAATTGTGTACTAGTTCAGTGAAAATGGACGTCACATTATGTTCAGACAAAAGCAAAGAAAGTCAAGATAACAACACAAATAACACACCTTACACCTATAGAGTTCTCGACAAGGTACAAGTATTTTTTATCTTATTTGAAATTGGACATAGACAATATTCAACGGTAAAATATATTGCAAATCATAGTCTCTGTTTCATTTATTAATATTTTTGTGAACCATGAGCGATTCAAAGTTTGGCATAAAGTCTATACTAATGTCTACTATTGAAACAGTATGTTGACCTCTTTATGTTTTTTTTTTTTGTGTCGTTTGGTTGTGTCATAAATTTAACGTAGTCAGTTTAGTTTGATACTATTGTTTTAGTAGTCTCATGTTTAGTCTAGCCTTATTGTCTTTTTTTTCATTTTTTTTTTTATTAAATTTCAGTCAAGGAAATGGCATAATCTGTTTTCTTTTTCGTATATTTGGTTTCCCTTTGTTCAACTTGTATTGGATAAAAAAAGCTTTCAAATAATTTTGACACTACCTTAACCGTCTAAAAGGGAGACAACCACAAATTTTGTTATAAGCAAATATTGTGTACTAAAATACTAAATATTGTACTTTTCAATATTTATTCATGATTTTTCCAAGCAATTAAGCTTCGTTAAAGCAAGCTACAGTGTATGTACGAATGCGGAATTTGTTTTTAATGTATCATGGAAATGTATGCTGATTTTAAAGACAACTTTTAACAATAAAGCATTACTCTGGAATAAATACTTATTTATTATCATTTAACTTGATATAACTCTTTTCATTTTTATAAATAGTTTTGTCACAACACTTTACTTTATCCGTAGTCAAAGATAGTGATTAAACCACTAGTGATGAGAAAGAATTATAATCCAGACAGTGTTTTTAGTGCTAAGCAATAACATTAAAGGATATTTAGTCGATATGTTTGCTAATTTCAATGAATTATAATACAAGCTTCATAAAAATCAAAAAATCAAAATGGCCGACTAAATAAAATGTTCCTATGTAAAGTCTAAGGCTAAAGTGTATGGTAAGGAGGCTGGAAATAAACAATGTCTTGCAAATGAATAAAATTTAGCATGAAACACGCGCGTGGGTTTATAGACAAAACAGAAATATTCGACCATGTTTTATACCTTCTAATACCTATAAAATGACATAAAATTAAATTTGATCACATGGTCTTCTAAACGTGAGGATACCATATTTATTCATTTATTTTTTTGGGAGGAGCTTCCAAAACAAACTGATCGTGAGTACCTATGTAGAGTATGGACAAAACAGATTGCAGCTTTCGTCCATTAGAGCAAATTTCTCAAGAAACAAATTACTGTTACAGGGAAGAATCAATATGGGTTATATTTATCACAGATTTGTGCAAAGATTTATCTTTTGGTATCTGGTAGAAAGATGGTTCCGACATATATTTCTTGCATTTTACTTATGAAGCCTTTGACTACAAACTGTCTACCAGTTTCACTAACAGACAGAAGGCTAGGGGTCTCGCATGCGATTAAGGATATGTCACTTTCTTTTAGTGCATGGTAAAATTCTTGATATTGATAGTTTTTTTTTTTTTTGCATTTCCCCAATTATTTTTTAATCATAAACGTGAAAAAAGAAAAAGAAAATCCTACAAAAATGTGTGCATGTAAACAATGTATAAGTACTGAAACACGTGAAGAGGTATATGACAAAAATGGACACCAAAAAAAGAGAAAAATCTCAGAACAGCTTGCAAAGTTACTCGGTCTTTAGTTTTCTATGTTGTGTTTTGTGTGCTATTGTTTGTCTGTTCGTCTTTTTCTTTTTTGACCATGGCGTTGTCCGTTTTTTTTTTTTTTTTTTTTTTTTTTTCGTTTTATTAGTTTGAATGTTCCTCTGGAATTTTGCACCTCTCTTTTGCTAAAGGAAGTTGGTATCTAAATGATTTTTGAATGTATCAACATGCAATCTAGGTAAGGTATGTAATGCAGTACCGAAGCAGTGACTAATTAGCTTATGTTATCCTCGAATAAATCGATTTCATTGGACATGTGTTTCGTGTCTAACCATGATCAGATTAAAAAACTATTTATTTGCCTTTTATTTTTTTCATTCCGTATGACCGTTTGATTTTGTCTTTGTTTATGGATTTCCCATTTATGATTTTGCCTTGGAGTTTAGTATTTTTGTTATTACATTTTCATCTGCACATATTGTTGTTGTGTTTGGTCTGTAACATAGCTTATTCAAATATGTTATGTTGATACAATACTATGGAAACAAATAACCCAGTCAATGTTAAAAATGGACCCTCGAGACTTGCGACAGGGTTCATCTTATGGAGCATAATTTCTATTCCCATGTTGTCGTTGTTGATATTGTTTTGATCTTTTATTGTTTTTGTAATAGTTGGTAACCCTGCAACGGAAATGAAAAGCAGTCAACATTAATGGTATTTCTTAAAATTCAATATATTAAAAATAGTATTTTATATGGGATAATCAAACTATTTAAACAATGGGAAGTGCCCATTTAGTTGCTTGGTGTCTCTAGAGTCAATACCATACGCCTCATTATTATTGCGGTAAACCTTTGTTTCTTGTGTGTGACGTTGCCAAATGCCTGAAATCAAAATAAAATTTTATTTAAAGTAGTTGAGACATTTTAAAGTTTGTTATCTATACTGATATACTTTGATTTTCTGCCTACATGTATTATATGTAAAAACAAAATGATGGTGCACAACTCTGAAAATTATATACATTTTTTTAGCTTTACAGGTACTTACACATAACCTGTTTTGGTTCTACAGAAAGATTCTCAGTGAAGTCATGAAATCCACAGGAACACGTGTACGGGTGGTCCAAATCTGATTCACTAAAATTGTGTATCAATAATTCAAAATTTGTTGATTTTGATTTGTTTTATTTGTTTTCAATTTTGGAATTAAAATGTTATGGTGCTAGCATCAAAAAGAAGTTACTCAAACAACTGTCAGTGAATCGCCTTATCCTTTGAAACAATGAATAAATTAAAACATCGGCTCTCCTTGTGACAATACTTCTTTTAAAACGAAAGAGGTCTTCTGTACTAGTTATTGGTTCCTTTTTCAGGATAGTTTATCATATCAGAGGATGACAAAACTCGTGTGAAAAAAATAGGTGCAATAGACAGGTTATAAAACATGATTTTCATACTTTTTGAATGTATTAAACATAAGCATACTTTTTACAGGATTTGGTTTTGTAATGGAAGTTTTATATTTTGTGAATACAAAGACAAAATAAAATTGTTATGATTAATATTGAAACAAATATTGAAAAATTGAAGTTTAATTCATTAAGATATTCGTAAAACTAAAATGTTACATGATCTAATCATTTCAGACAGTTTTACATCTAATTAAACTAATATCTCGTGTATAGTGGTTGTATTAAGTATCACATTGCTTCATATTTTTTTTTCAGAAAGAGATGCAAACGCAGCCCGTGAAAAGGTACAGTTTAATAGTACTATGTTTCAATAAAAATCAGCTTTGAAATTAATTACTCATTGTTTTAGAAATATAGATCTTTTTGATCATTTTTGGGGGATAATATTACGTTTTTGTTAAAGTATTTTGTATTTGCATATTTAAGGCATTGAAAAATATATCTGACAAACGATATCACTAAATGCTGACTTCATACAGGAACTTTTTAGAAAAAAAGATAAGAAGTTAGTAATATCCTTTAACTCTACGTTCCGCTATATAGATGATGTTCTCTCACTAAATAATACAAAATTTGGTGACTATGTTGAACGAATCTATCCCATCGAACTGGAGATAAAGGATACTACAGATACAGTTAAGTCTGCCTCATATATTGACTTACATCTAGAAATTGACAATGAGGTCGGTTGAAAACAAAACTTTACGACAAAAGAGATGATTTCAGCTTCCCAATTGTGAACTTTCCATTTCTATGTAGCAACATTCCAGCAGCGCCTGCATACGGAGTATATATCTCCCAATTGATACGATATTCCCGGGCTTGTGTTTCCTATCATGATTTCCTTGATAGAGGATTGCTGCTCACAAGGAAGCTATTAAACCAAGAGTTCCAAATGGTGAAGTTGAAGTCATCCCTTCGTAAATTTTACAGACGCCATCACGAGTTGGTTGACCGTTATAGAATAACCGTTTCACAGATGATATCGGATATGTTCCTTATGTCGTAACTACAATACCCTCCCTTTTCACGAATGTGACTTACCGAATTAGACTATTGTCCGGATTTGTAATAACATAAGCAACACGACGGGTGCCACATGTGGAGCAGGATCTGCTTACCCTTCCGGAGCACCTGTGATCACCCCCAGTTTTTGGTGGGGTTCGTGTTGCTTAGTCTTTGGTTTTCTTTGTTGTGTCATCTGTACTATTATTTATCTGTTTGTCTTTTTATTTTTGGCCATGGCGTTGTCAGTTTGTTTTCGATCTATGAGTTTGACTGTCCCTCTGGTATCTTTCGTCCCTCTTTTACAAGAAGTAAATATTTAATTTCACTGTTTAAGGATTATACTGTATTTTTTACATGTTTAAGTCAATATATATATGTGTGATTTCTGAGAGAGAAAAAAAACTCATATAGTATTGAGGTCCATTTTCCGTCAACGTATCGGCCTTGTGTTAAGAAAACATCACTTTTGTTAAGACTTGTTATCGAACAGAAGTCAACCAGAGAGAGTTTTCTGTGTGCCAATATTTTAAGGAACTATAAAACATGTATCGTTAATGTACTTTCAATAAATGCCATTTATATTATATGAAATATCAAATGAAAGTCTTACATGTAGCACTTGGTTAAGCAGTGTTCCTACCTAAGCTGCTAAATATGTTTAATAATTTTGTTGATCTGCATGGAATAAAGATTTCAATTCAATATAATCATAATAAAAAGATAGACTACCGATTCCAAGCAAAATATTTGAAATTAAAGTAAGTGCTTTTAAACTTTGTTCTTGAATTAGCCTAATCTATATATTTCTAAATTTCAAATGTATGAGTATACACGTTCCTTTTTAAGATGAATTCAGGAACGTGGTAACATTTCAACGAATTTATAAAGTGCTATTTTAAATGTAAGGATAACATCTGACATACCATGCATAAGGATTTGGAAACAGTATGCAGATTAATACAGTATTCAGAATAATGCAACTAAAAATCAAAAACCAGGAATGTTCCAAAACTGGAACTGTACACTTGAAAAAAAACGAACGAATTTGAATTTTTCCTGCAGCGTAAGTTTATAACAGAATTTGAATTCTTCACGTTTAAAAGTATCCAATACAACCAACGTAGTACAGAAAGTAAATACATCAACAATTCATGAAAATATTTGCCGCAAAGTTTAACTCGAAGGAAATAATTTTCCGATGATTCCTTGTCTTGACAAGTCGCAAGATAGTTGAAAGCTGTAGGCAAACAGGAATTTTAAAACTTGAATTTGCTTTTTAATTTTTAATTAAACATATAATTTATGTATATAAAAGAGTTTATAGAAAACAACCAATCAGCATATTTAGTACATACTGTATTGTCTGACGACTATTCCACACACAAAGGGAAAAAAAGTCTTAAGATGTGTGCAAAGGTACTGATAAAAGATAAAAAAAAATATACGAACAAAACTGAATGACAGTGTACATGTAATGAAAACTATTTCGACACTACAAATGGACTTCATCCGTACGTGTGTCAGTCCAGTTTAAAATTGATAAATAATATCAGTTATTTGTGTGTTAAAAGAACTTCCTCGTAAAGTGCTTTGTTTTTTAATCTTTGCCTTTTTCAGTCAGACAAAATTCAAATATGCGCAATTCGTCTACACTCGAATCATTAGTTGATGAGAATTTAAAACCCTAAAATCATACAAAGTTCTTCAACATCTAGCTTATTAAATCTTTAATTTTTGTTCAATGCAACATGGTTGTTGATATTCTCCGGGACTGAACCTCCCCAAGCAGTGTCTCGGTGGTTGTTTTTAAGTTAATTAGAAATAACAGTCAGAAAATGTGGTATGGAAAATCAGCGTTTTTGTGTATTAAGATTCTTTGTTGCCACTCGTATCAAACAGTTGGAAAACCAAATTGAACAGATAAGATTAATTCATTTTAGATTGTGTTGTAAAGTTCTTCATGTTATTGTTGTGAATGAATCCTACAACAGTCGTTGATATCTCTGCATATTTGCTGTCATGATTTCCTTACAAGAGGATTGCTGCTGAAAAGGAATCTATTGAACCAAGATTTCCAATTGGTGAAGTTAAAATCGTCCGTTCAAAAATTTTAAGGAGGCCATTACGTGTTAATCGACCTTTATAGAAATTCTGTTTCACAGATGTCGACGGATATGGTCCAATTGTCATAACCACAACCCCTTCCTCTTTTTGTCGAATGTAACCTACAGAATTATTCTTATCGCCAGGTTGTAATTACATGAACAACACGACGGATGACACATGGGGAGAGGGATTTACCCTTCGGGAGCAGCTGAAATCATCCCTTGTTTTGGGTGGTTTTGATGTTCTGGAATGCTATGCATCACAACTTATAGACCCATATCAGAAAAAAACATTAACCGTAATCTTGTATTTGCATTTTTATAACATTGAGATCATTGTTGTTTTAAGCAATTTTACCATATCTTAGGGTGAGAGTCAAATTTTATTTATGACAGAACTTTCGATGTTTCAAGTCGAATTTCGTGAACAAGCGCTTCAAATGCTTTACGTCAAAATATGAATTATCATTATACTTTTGAAAAAATTTTAAAACTATGTTGTAATATTTTACATAAATTATAAAGTTTATTAGCTATAATGCCAGAAAGCTTTTGCCATGTTTACTTTAAATGGAAAACCAGCTTTTCCGATGTAAAGGGTATTCATGAAAAATGCTTCACCACATTGTCATAATATAAAATGTTGGTTTCAATTTTTAGAATGTTTACATGTAGGAATTTATGGTAAATCTGCATGCACCGGCTTACCAGTTTTTAATTTGTTTTAGGTTTTCTTCAGTTAAGTATTTTGTATATAAAAGTTAACATTATGAGAATTCATTTTCACAAAAATTATTATCCGTTGAAAGATTTCCTATTTCTAACATTTAACACAGGCCATCTCCTTTTTGTTTTGTCTTCCAGGTTTTCACTTCTGTTCTGTTTACTGTTTATTGTTGACTGGTAGGTTCCTCCTATCTGAAGAGCACTCCCGAAGGATACGTTTATAAATTTTTTGAACGTATATGAATATTCCTAGACTATTTCGAATTCCAACTATACAACAAAATATACATGTTTGGATCCGTTGGTTGTTGAATTATTTATAATACATTTCAGGACATTGATCTAAATTTGTTTTCCAGATGAGCACACCGAGGGATAACCTAGCTAAAATAGGTAGATACTAAATGATCATTTTCTTACTTTTTGCATGTATAAAACTTAATCATAACATTTTTTTTTTTTTTTTTTTTTTTTTTTTTTAATTTCACAGCACTGAAATAAATCCTTTAGAGATTGTTTACTTTCCTTTAAGATTTATTTTTTGTGATGGAAATTAATTCTCTTATTTTATGAATTCAAAGACAAAAAAAAAGTATTATTATTAATGTTGAAACCAATATTGAAATATTTGTCAAAGTTAAATTAATTAAGATATTCGTAAAACATATATGTATACATGATCTGTTCATTTCAGAAAATTTTACATCAGATATTTAATATCTCGTAAAGTGGTTGTAAAAGGTATCACACTGTTTCATTCATTTTTTTCAGAAAATAATGAAAACCCAGCGCTACTGTCAGACGAAGAAAAAAGGTACGTTTTTAAGTAGTGTTTCAAAGAAAATCAGCGTTGAAATAAAATTGCCTATTGTTTTCAGATATGATAGATCTTTTTCGTTATTTTGGGCGGATTAAGACACGTTCTTGTTTAAGTATGTTGTATGTGCATATTCAATACATTGCAAAATATATCTGACAAACGAAATCAATTAATGCATCTATACAAAAATTAAATATTTAATTTCATTGTTTAAGGATTATACTGTATGTTTAGCATGTTTAAGGATTATACTGTATGTTAAACATGTTTAAGTCAATATGTATGTAGGATTTCAGAAATAAAACACACTCATATAGTATTGAGGTCCATTTTCCTTCTTATTATAGGCTTTTAAGTATATATTCTCTTTTCTCAACACTTTTTTTTTCGGACATAAGTTTTCTGTGTGACAATATTTGAAAGAACTATAAAACATGCATTATTAATGTACCTTGAATAAATGTCATTTATATAATCGGATAAATAACATGAAAATTTAAGCACTTGGTCGTGCAATGTTTCTTCCTAAGCAGCGAAATATTTTTTTATTATTTTGATGATCTGCAGAGAATAAAAGTTGTTTTTTTTTGTTTTGTTTTGTTTTTTTTTTTGTTTTTTTTTTTGTTTTTTTTTTTTGTTGTTTTTTAAATGTAGACTTTATTTCACGCAAGTCCATGACATGGGATTACAAACAAAGACGGAGTTTCTAAATTAAATTTGGACGATTCAAATTATTAGAGTTAAGAGTTAATGTCTTAATATGACGATAGACTACCGATGTCAAGCAAAATTATTCAAATTAAACTCAGTGTCGATTAAGGTTTTCTTTCAACAACCAACATTAATTGTTTAGTCGCGAAAGAGATAAAAACATACAATGCAAGCGACTTTACAATGTATTTTATACGTAAGAATTGACATAAAACATACATTACATCGAAGCAGTAAAGTAAATCAGGACATTTATAAAAAAGACAGTTTTTTTCTTTATTGAGCTTTTACAACCACTGGTTCGATGTAACTGCTTGTGGACTTACATTTATCATCTTATATTGCATCATCAGTCCATCAGTCAGCACTTCTGTGTTGGCATCAAAATATCATCGACACGGTCATTTGTATAAACTTACTGTTCAGGTCACTTTAAATTTATGAAATACTATGGGTTTTCTAATCCAGTCATAGATAACCTTGGCAAAATGTTTTAGAATGTAGGGTCCTTACTGCTTTACAACTAAGTGCTTGATTTGGCCTAATATATATATTCCGATATTTCAAATGTATGAGTTAACACGTTCCTCTGTATATAAATTCAAATAAGCGGTTAACACTCAATGAATTTATATTGTGCTATTTTCATTTTAAAGAAAACATGTGAAAAAACATACGTTAGTGTTTAAAAACAGTGTACAGAAAGATAGACCTAAAATGTAAATAACAAGAAAGTTCTGAAACTGAAACTGGACACTTAAAAAACGGGAAGAATTTGATTTTTTCTCCAGTTTCTAACACAATTGGATTTCTTCACGTTTTCAAGTGTCCGATCCCATCAAAATAGTAAAGAAAGTAATAACATAACAAAGTCATGAAAATATTTGCCGAAAAAAGTTTAACTCGAAGGAAATAATTGTCCGATGATTCATTGTCTTGACAAGTCGCAAGATGGTTGAAAGACGTACTGGATCGTCTAACGACTTTTCCACACACAAAGGGAAAAAAGTTTTAAGATGTGTGCAAAGGTACTGATGAAAGATAAACATATACGAACAAAATTGAATGACAACGTAATGAAAACTATTTCGGCACTACAAATGGACTTTATCAGTACGCGTGTCAGTCCAGTTCAAAATGTGATAAATAATATCAGTTATTTGTATGTGGAAAGAACTTCCTCATATAGTGCTTTGTGTTTTGATCTTTGCCTTTGTCAGTAAGACAAAACTTAATATTGGCAATTCGTCTACACTAGAATCATCTGTGGCACTCTTATCAATAGTTGAAGAGAATTTAAAACCAAAAAATCGAACAAAGTTCTTCAAAATCTAGCTTATAAAATCTTTAACTGCGGTTAAATGCAACTTGGTTGTTGATATCCTCCGGGACTGAACGTCCACAAGCAGTGTCTCTGTGGTTTGTGTTTTTTTTTTTTAATCAATAAGAGATAACAGTCTGAAAATGTGGTATGGCAAATCAGTGTTGTTGTGTATATAAGACTCTTTATTGCCACTCGAATCAAACAGTTGGAAAACCAAATAAAACAGATAAGATTAATTCATTTTAGATTGTGTGGTAAAGTTCTCAATGTTATTCTTGTGAAAGAATCCTACAACAGTCGTTGATATCTCTGCATATTTGCTATCATGATTTCCTTGATAGAGGATTGCTGCGGAAAAGGAATCTATTGAACCAAGAGTTCTAATTGGTGAAGTTAAAATCATCCCCTCGAAATTTTACGGTGGCCATTACGTGTTAATTGACCTTTATAGAAATTCTGTTTCACAGATGACGACGGATATGGTCCAATAGTCGTAACCACGATCCCTTCCTCTTTTTGTCGAATGTAACCTACAGAATTATTCTTATCACCCGGTTTTAATTACATGAGCAACACGATGAGTGCCACATGGGGTGAGGGATTTACCCTTCCGGAGCAGCTGAATTTTTTGGAGGGTTCGTGTTGCTCAGTCTTTAGGTTTCTTTGTTGTGTTTTGTGTACTATTGTTTGTCTTTTTGTTGTTATTCGTTTTTTCCCATGACATTGACAGTTTGTTTTCGATTAATGAGTTTGGATATTCATTTGGTATCTTTTGCCTTTTTCATATCAAATTATCTTACAGTGGCATAACGAGGCAAACAGTTTGATTCAAGATTTTGTTTTCAGAGTCTGTTTCTAAAATATTTTCTCAATGGAAAACAGTCACTTCATCAAAATTTGGATGTATCTAGCTGTTATCAAACATATTTCGTGTAATTTATATGTTTCACTAAATCGTCGAAAAGTATACGTATTCGCAAATAAAATGTCTCTTGTGATGCATCGTATAAAAGGTTATTGTATTTAATTAATCATATGTAAATTTTATTCATAATAAAAGCTCGAAAGTGTCAGGGTGAAAGCTTCTGTATTTAGCCATCTATCTATATACTTCAAATTAGCTTTATATTTATTGTAGAAGTAATTGATAGACACAAGGAATGAACAGCAGATCGCTCAACCTGTAAATAAGATGGACAAACGACGTTTGGGAAGCCTTATATTGATTTTCGTTTCTATCATTTCGTGGTTCCAAAAACACATGTCATTGAGAGGGTTGCTAACTGCTTTGTTATAACATTTACTTCAATTGAATGACATGGCGAGTTGATATCTAATAATTTAATACAGCAACGAATAATATTATTCGTTCTGTTGCAGATACGTTAGATTTACAATCACCTTGTTACCACTAACACATCAATGTAGCATTTTATCTATATTTACATTCATAATTCTTTATTGTGATTCACCAAATCATCGTGTTCTAAAAGGAAATAGAAATCCTCCAATTGTGTAAAATTCAACCCTTTTACAGCTGTTAAATATTCAGGGTGACAGTTTGTTTCAAATCAAAGCAACTATATGCACTGGATTTATTTGTTTTTACACAGGTTTCATTTAGAAGAAAAACCGACATTGCTAGAAAATACAAATAATTACAACATTACTAACATGATTCTATATTAAGGTGTAATACCACCATTGATTTTTGCCTATTAGTCTTTGTTAAATTTGCACTTTTCAAAAAATTGTGCAGAATTTATCTTTGTTTCAAATAAAGAAATACTTGGCATGAGTAAAGTTTTATCCTGTCCAGTACTATAGACAAAATTTCACTCAACATTTCGTTGCATATAAGAAAATAACCATCACTGGAAGTTAAGCAATCAAATTTTCACCCCTTTTCATCCTGTGTACAAGCTTAAGTAACCATGTAACCTCAAGTTTCCAAAATATTCATAGTAACACCAAATAAAAAAAATAATGGTGCTCTGAAACACCCAAGATATATGTTTATAACCCAGAATATTTTTACTGCAATGAAATGTAGGATTAATTTCCTACAACTGTCAAATTCAAGGGTATATATTTTTCGACCCTTTTTTGTATGCAACTGGATGTGACGTACTATGATTTGGTGGTATTACACCTCAAGAAGACTTTTTTGTTGAATAAACGGAATGTGATTTATTTTTCTTTGTAATACTGGTTATTTCAAGCACTACTGTCAAGTTTTGTCATAATCAGTTCAACAGTTTGAGAAAAATCTAGTATAATGTATGACGTCATCTACAACGATTGGAGCAAAATTTCTTCGAAAAATCCATATCAAGCCGCATGATGATAGAATATAGTGTGGACCAAAACTGATCAAATATCTATCTACTCTGCATACAAACAGTTGAAAATGATACAACAGATGACTGTAGGTTGATAAATACCACTAATGGACCTCTTTGTCTTCATTATAAGGTACCTTTTGGTCCATTTACACCTATCATTTCCTCAAAATTTTATCATTTTAGGCCAATGAATAAACAATTTGGGGTAACTTTCACTCATTAATGAAAGAAATCTGATAATAGACACGTAATTGAAATATTCAAGCTGAATGAACTATCCTTCTAAAAATTTACTGACTCCATGGAGGTTTCAATAATTCCTTACGTAAAACTTAAATTTACTCCGCGTTCCAGAAAGGGACATAAAAAGCTTCCCTTTTAGTGAATATTTTGTCATTACTGCTTCAAAAATAATTTCATTTACTAATAACTATATATTTATTAAAGTATTACTTAGTAAGATGTTTTCTATTATAGCAAAATATAAGAAATAAGGAGAAAAAGTCAGAAAAAAGCTCCCCAAAACACTGAGCAGTCAGGGGCGTTACTTAAACAAGTTATTTATTATTAAGGCAATTTTCTCATACAATGTGTTTTTGAGACTCAATCCACTCAGAATATTTCATTTTTGTAATATTTCCCTTAAATAGCATGAATTTTTAGCAAATGAGAGTACACACATGTGCAGCTTTCCATAATAGGTATAATACCACCATTGATTTTCCCCTATTAGTCCTTTGTTAAATTTGCACTTTTCAAAATATTGTGCAAAATTTATCTTCGTTTCAAATTAAGAAATACTTGGCATGAGTAAAGTTTTATCCTGTCCAGTACTATAGACAAAATTTCAACTATCATTTAATTGCATATGAAAAACTAACCATCACTGGAAGTTAACCAATCAAATTTTCACCCCTTTTTGTGTACAAGCTTTAGTAACCATGTAACCGCAAATTTCAATTCATAATTCTATTGTGGTGTACTATGTGTGGAAGGTGTTCGTTGTTATTCTGTGGTTTACATGTTGTAATGTACAATTATATTATTTATTTATGTAATTCTTTGTCCTGAGTTTTCTTTGGTTTATTTGTATTGTATTTCTGTCACGTAATGTTGCCATTTTAGCGGTATTTTCAACATTGCCATATAAGCGGGAGGCTAGCCATAAAACCAGGTTCAACCCACCAAATTTCTTAAAATGTCCTGTACCAAGTCAAGAATATGGCAGTTGTTATGAAATAGTCCGTTTCTATGTATGTTGGCGTTTGTTTTTGTAGCAGTTTAGTGTTTCTGTTATTCCGTTGTTTTCCTCTTATAGTTGATGTGTTTCCCTCGGTTTTGGTTTGTGACTCGGATTTGTTTATGCTTAATTTATGACTATTGAACAGCGGTATACTACTGTTGCCTTTATTTGCCGTTATTTTAAGTTGTCACAAGTGATAACATGTTCCTGAAATTTCCAAGCTTCCTTCGCACAAAATAACACAATGTAACGTACGCATTACATGGTGTTCTAGAACGCTATGCATCAAAACTCATAGACCCATATCAGAAAAAAGTTATAACGTGGACTTGTATTTGTATTTTTATAACATTGAGAACATTGTTGTTTTAAGCAATTTTACCATAACTTAGGGCTAGAGTCAAATTGGTTTTTATGACAGAATTTTTGATGTTTCAAGTCGAATTTCGAATTTCGTTCAAATGCTTTACGTCAAAATATGAAGTATCATTATACTTTTGAAACGATTTTAAAACTATGTTGAAATATTTTACATAAGTTTTATTAGCTATAATGCCAGAAAGCTTTTGTCATATATACTTAAATGGAAATCAGCTTTTCCGATGTTAAGGGTATTTATAAAAAATGCTTTTCCACATTGTCAGAATATAAAACATTGGTTTTATTTTTTTAGGATGTTTACATGTATGCATATATGGTAAATCTGCATGCACAGGCTTACCAGTTTATAACATGTTTTATGTTTTCTTCAGTTAAGAATTTTGTGTAAAAAGCTTTAAATTATTGGAATTCATTTTCACAAAAATTATTATTCGTTGAAAGATTTCCAATTTCTGACATTTAGATTAGGCCATTTTCCTTTTTTTTTGTCTTCCACTATATACACTTAACGAAAATTGGAATAAAGTAGGTTGCAATTCGCCATATGAGTAACATTCAAATATGTTATTTTTTATATTTTTCAATCGATTATAATGAAAGTTTATCCTGAACGCTTGTGACTGTATGTTTTTATGGCCTGTTTAGGATATTCGATTAGTTTGTATTTGTATTAAATTCAATTTTTAAAATGCTTGCTGTTTGTAGAAAACTCATCAAAGATATCAAGCTATAATTTTGTACGCCAGTCGCGCGATTTTTCTACAAAAGACTATTCAGTGACACTAGAAAAAAAAGTAATAAGGCCATATAAAGTACGAAGTTTACAAGCTTGTGGACCAAAGCAGTTTATTTATGACAACCGTTGGATTACATCTTACTGGATTGAACAGGCACATGAAGAAGATGGAGGCGGTTTAACATATTAGAAAGCACTCAATCATCCCCTAACTTGGTTCCGTGGTCTAACAACATAAGAACACAATGCCTTGACTCTACGGATTTAGTTCTCTATATGCTTCCACTTTCACATACAAATGACTATTTTGCTACTTTGCTGTGGAGATGAGGTTAGTTTTAACAATTTTTTTGGTACAGATTTTGCATAGGGATTACAACCTCAAATCGTAACTTTTCAGTGAGTCGTAGCATCGAAGCAGTTCTACTGCCTGACAAGGGATTTAAACTACTTCAAATATAGTTTAAGATTAGAATCCATGTTTCCAAAAATGAGATTCAGGATAAGGCTATATCCAACGAAACTTGGACGGTGTAAACTCCGTTTAAATAATAAATAGATTTAAAATAAAATCTAAAAATATTAATAAAATGTGTCTCCAGAAAATTAACTAAATTCTGTGTAATTGATCATTGTCCTTTCCTAGCCTGGATATAAAAAAATAATTATAAGAAGATTTCTAAAATTAATCAATTTTGAGTCGATCGACAGAAGTATGCTCATATTTCAATAGGCTATTTTCTATGTGAAAAACGACGATATAAGCGTTTATGTTTATTTGCAAATATTTTGCATTGACAAATGATATATGTATATATGTAAAAAGTGTGTGACATTTTTAATACGAAAAACTTATATATTTTCTTTGTCGTGTATTTTTCATATTGTGTGGACGTTTCCTAATATCGAAATGTCCTCATAATTGCAGGACATTTCATTGCAAATAAGATATTTTATCAGGTAAGATTCGCTAGCCTGCGTTACTACGCCAAACACGAATCGCAGAAATCGGAGAAAGACACTTAATGTGCTTTCTGTAAGCAATATGTTTTTTCTTACAGTTTAAAAGAAAAATCCACCATATGATATAGTGTTCTCAATCGTAATTTCAATGTTGTCTTTATAATGAAATTTTCTCTTAAACTTTCAATAGCATTCAAAAATGTGTTATTTCTACATCCTCTTCTTAAAAGATAGGACTACTGATAATCAAAAATATGATATTGAGTAACTACAGGGTAATGTTAATAAGAATAAATGTTTGATATCAATGTGTTTTCTTCTTGCTTTGATCGGTTGCTGATTATAAGTCAGCTCATGACTAAATATATGCTGGTATGCTTTTTAAAGATTGTTGTGCTAAGCACTTTTCGGATCAAACATGACCTTTGACTATGTAAACGCTAATCATACTGTTTTGTCATCCAGCACAGTAAAATACTATACACTATACACTGCAACTCTATCTATACACATATCAGAATGTCTATCATCATTAGTTTTTTTATAAATGAAATAATGGTAATAAAGTTTAGTATTCGTCGATCGACACATATATCTATACACATGTAGGTATCATAAAAAAGGGAAAGCTTCTCAATTCGCATAGAGAGTTATCCAACGTATAGGAAGAAATAAATTAGTATGATGAGATAGAAACATTTTTAAGTTGCTTCGTTCCCGATTTTGTACAGTCCCCTCCTAAATATAGCCTTTGCCTTACATGTATTTTTTATCGTAATTCACTTTGATTACCTTTGATTTAAGATCATATTTTCGACAGAATGTTCAACGGAAAGTTGTATAGTTTCCGGATATGTATTATTTTCTGACGCAGTTTTGAATATTCTTGGTTATATACATTTATGTATTGGTCCCAGCTTTTGTCCATTCTGGTTATATCAGATCTTAAACGTTTACATTAGAGAATATATCCATAACTGTTTACCTATAAAATTTTTCCTAACATACCAAGATTACGGATTATTTCATTTTCCTTAATTTGAATTTAAAAAAAGACGAAATGTTGACGCTCGAATTTAAACTCTGCAAAATAAGGGATATTGCTGTCATTTATATTATATATGAACATTCTATTCTGTGTCACAAAATTAACTAAATTATTATACTGGCATATAATTTCCAATATAACGTACAAATATGGCCAATGTTGATAATTGCAAACCATTCGGCGTTATCATCAATACTAATTTTAATGACAGTTCTATATTTTGAATAAAAAGAGAAATTGGGGCATGGCACTGTCAGTTAAAGCCAACAAACTTTTGTCGTCATTGTTTACCAATTTTGCTGTAATTTATATATTAAACTATTCTTCTTGGGTAACCCAATTTACTGATTTATGATACCAGCATATAATTTTTAACTAATATGGCCAGTGTTGATTGATGCACGCAACTAATTTTGTTATCCAAACCATTCTGAGATATTAAAAAGTAAAATAACAAAAATACCGAACTCCAAGGGAAATTCAAAACGGAAAGTCCTTGACAAATGGCAAAATCAAAAACTAAAACCCATCAAAAGAATTGAAAACAACTGTCATATTTCTAACTTGGTACAGGCATTTTCTAATGTAGAACATGATGGATTAAACCTGGTTTTATAGCTAGCTAAACCTATCACTTGTATGGCAGTCGCATAGAATTCCATTATATTGACAACAATGTGGGAGCAAAACAAACAGACATAAAAAGTGAAAATATCAAAAATTGTGGTACAGCAGTCAATATTGCAATATAATCTTAAACACTATAAAAACAAATTACTATTTCAACAAAAAAAAACAAAATGGCATATAGACAAAGTACATAAGAAAAAATAAAAAAACAAGAATACAAACTTGATCATAGCACAATAACACAATGGCGGGATGTATTAGTACCAAGACACACCAAAATTATATTACCAACAATGGACTAAACAGTAAAAGTTAAAAATTGTACAAGGACAAACACAAAGAACACTATAACACGTAATTTAGATGTTAAACAACATCAGTACCTAGAATCGATACTTTAAGACAATCATGTATTATTTGTGAAGTTGGTACGGAATATTTATCAACAAGGTCTGGTCATGTTTTTCTCTGACTGTTTATGATGTCTTTACACTAAATCAATTGGATGTTGGATGTGTACTGATTGATAATTTAGTCTTAGATGCATGATTTTTTTATTAGTTGTTATTGGCTTTGAACAAGCTGTCAGTAACTGCGAGTACTCTCAGATCTGTATGTAGTGCCTTTTTTGTAGTTGGGATGTACAAGTACCCGGCCACGTCCACTCTGTGTTTTTGTTAGATGTATTTCTATTGGTATCCATTTGATGAGTTAAGCCTTTTTCAACTGATTTTAATAGTTCATTCTTATGTTGTACTGTTACACCACTGTCCCAGGTTAGGGAGAGGGTTGGGATCCCGCTAACATGTTTAACCCCGCTACATTCTGTATGTATGTGCCTGTCCCAAGTCAGGAGCCTGTAATTCAGTGGTTGTCGTTTGTTGCTGTGTAACAAATTTGTTTTTCGTTAATTTTTTGTACATTAATTAGGCCGTTAGTTTTCTCGTTTGAATTGTTTTACATTTGTCATTTCGGGGCCTTTTATAGCTGACTATGCGGTATGGGCTTTGCTAATTGTTGCAGGCCGTACGGTGACCTATAGTTGTTAATTTATGTGTCATTTGGTTTCTTGTGAAGAGTTGTCTCATTGGCAATCATACCACATCTTCTTTTTTATATTTGTATCTCCCAAGGAACTTTTTTTTAGAAAAGGAACGAGACATTCTTTGACATAAGCTTGGCTCATCAACATTTTGCTCAGACTCTGGTGACGTTTTATAAAGTCTGAGTAGAAGCTGCAAGCTCTTGAAAACCGAATGAGTTGAGAAATGTATATCCCATATGCAGATGGAGTTGGTATATTGCTACTGAGTTGGGGGAAATTTATAATTTAAAAATAAAAATTGTCTCATGTGTCATATATTCGGGTAATAAAATGACCGCTTATGTCAAATTTGAGGTATACGTCTAAAAATGAGGCAAAGGAAGCTGTGTCTGCTGTTTTTTAAATTTCAAGTACTAGAGGATATATTAATGGAACCCAATCAGAAAAGTTTGGATAGTTAATGGAAAGAACTTCATCAATATATCTGAATGTGTAAATAAATGAAATGACTTCTTCGGTCTTCTTGTTTTTGAAGTGTCTGAAGGAAATCCGACTCATACGAAAATAAAAAGAGGTCTGCAAGAAGAGGCGCACAATTCGTTCCCATAGGAATGCCGACAATTTGTTGAAAAAGTCTACCTCCAAATTCAACAAATATGTTGTCAATACGAAACTCCAGCATACTGATCACTTGTTCCTCTGTGTTGCATGTTTAACCTTTTTGTTCACTATTAACAAAATATGCCGTATGGTATCCCAAAGCAATAAATGTATAGCGTCTGCTACCATTTTTATATTGAAAAGCATTGTGGAATATTTCTTTTGGACGATTGACTAATTTCACATGGGGAATGGTGGTATACAGGGTTAATACCACTACGTAAGTAAACAGTTTCACAGTATTTCTGAAGACCCTCTTTCACTGCAGACAGAATTTTTGTCAATGTAATTGATAATTCCTTTGTAGAACATGTTCAACTTCTTCTCGTTTAGCCAATGCTCTGGCGTACTCCTCGTTGGGATCCATAATTATTTTGAAGTTATGGCTTCAATTGATGTGTTAGGGTTCTCTGAACTAAGGACCATGATATATCACCTTTCGGAGATGTTCATGTTGAATTATGTTTAGATCCCCAGTAATAAAATGGCCAGAGGGGCTGTAAATATAAGGCGAATGGGAAACAGTCCCAAATCTGAGGTTTTTTTTGTATTTTTCTAAATCAAGGTACTGCAATGCTTGATTATAGTTAAATACTTTATGTGTAATGTTTTTTGTGTAGCTGCAGGATACAATAGGAACAGACTGATTTTAAAAAAATTGGAATTTTAGATGTTACCTCTTTGTGATGAAGAACGTTCCTGATGTTGATAGCATCAATTCGATTTTAGTAAACTGAACTGGAAGGTATTTCCTCCTACTACCAAATCTACTGATTTTAAGTGACAGTTCAGGATTTTGAATAAAAATAGGAAATATTGTCTAAATTAAAGCTGATAACATTTTGTAGCCATTGTGTATTAAGATTGCTGTCAATAGTATTATACAATGCACCCTGAGTTATCAGATTTATTGATTTATTTTCATTGTAAAGTACAAATACTGCAGTTTTGATTGATGCGGGTAAATATGTTTGTTTTACAAACCATCCTGAGTTATCAATGTGACTGATTAATAATGACAGTACAGTACTTTGAATAAAAATTAAATTAAAGCCATCTTTGCTTGCCACGGGTTATAATCCGACTCGTTCCTGGTCACCCTTGGCAGATTGAAACAGTATATGTGTTCACAAAGAAGTGCCATCTAGCGGCAGATAGAAGTTACGCTCACTCTGACTACATCATAATTGACAATGACAGCGCTTGTACTCCTTAGTTCGGGTGTATAAAAATGACAAAACGTGTAGGTTTATGAAACTGGCGTCTACTATTTATCATAAAGTACACTGCTAATTGTAAGTGACGGCTAAGTGTTTTGAATAAAAAGGAGAAATGTTGGCACTCTTAATAATAGTCGACAATACATTTTAGTAATTGTACACCAATATCGCTTTCGTTTATCATGTTTTTTATATACAAGACACCTTGAGGTAACAAAATCAATCATTCATACATTTCAATTTAAAGTGGTGATAACCAGCTTTTTAAGCTTAGAGATGTACACAAAGGAACTGCATCATTTTAAAAAATAATTTTTACAATGTGGTCTAACATTGTGATAGTATAGCACTGTCCTAAACATGTTTAAAACCTGCTACATCCTTATGTGCCTTTCGTCGATTTAAATATGTCATATTTGTTTTTCGTTTTTGTTATAATCAGGCTGTTTTCTCGTTTTAATTTAATTTTGTCGGGGCCTTTCATAGCTGACCATATGGTATGGGTTTTGCTTACTGTTGAAGGCCGTATATTTTCTCACATCAACGATATTTGATTACTGTTGGCAATCATACCACAATCATCTTATTATCCAGAGATAGGACATCATTTATATAGTGGTAAGAGAAATCTAATGAAAATTCAAACTTTTTTATAATTTTTCATTAGAAGATCCTGTATGAAAAGAAATATTCGGCAAGCCGAAGAGCAAAATTAGTTTCCATAGAAATGCCGATTGACTGTTAAACACCATGTTCTCCAAACAACTTATTTAACCTTATATCAAAAAAGAATGTTAATTACACAAATAAACAGTCTTATGGAAAATAAAACATTGTGGCATATACCAATATAACCTCTGCGGATATTATGATACTCTCTCTAAAAATATGTTGTATATACCAACTTTGCTTTCTTTTAAATGCGACCCATATTTCAATTGATTATAGTACAAAGATGTCATATCTTAACAAGTCGATACTTATCTTGTCATATCAGTAAAATGTGTTTTAATAAACAAATACATTAAAAAATATCATATCCATTGACTGTATTGCAAAAGTGCTTGCAATTAAAGAGGGTGCTTAGCAAAATATGACTGATCGGTTATATAATAAACTCATCATATATAACACATAGTTGTGTATGTTAATATGGAAAGACTTAGTCATGTGTTATTCTATTGCGTGATTATTCTTCCCTGTTTACCTGCTAGGACTTTCAACAATCTCGATTTTTCGTGGAATGCTAAAAATGTAAATTCTTTGTAACAATCAAGATATTTAGAATTTTACTTGAAAGAAAACCTTGAGAGATCAGAGTATTAGTAAATATTTAAGAGAGGTATACTGTGTGAACGACCTGGATGTAAGTAAATCTTAATTTAAAACAATCATTCTAGTGTTTCAATATCAATTACCAATATAGAAGTATCCTTATTGTTTTAATGTATTAAATTGAACTTGTTCCAATAAGCAATTCTGTCTTATATTTCTGAGGTGTTCTTGATTTTCTTATATGTAAAGTTGGATAACAATGTAAGAATAAAAGAAAAGTATAAAAGTACTGATCTATTTCAATGATATAAACAACAGATGTCTTTGTGATGCGTCGAATAGCATAAATGGTAGGATTTTATTATTTTTTATTCTACCTGACGTGTTCTCCGAGGACGTGTTTTATGTATAAAAAATGTTTTTTTATTTTACATCCTGTCTATTATCAAGATATATTCAGTAAATACAGAGCGGAACGACCTGTTTAAAACTTGCATTGCTACACACAGGTATAACAAACAATCAAGTAAAACATATACATTGTAAAAATTTTAATTTATTATTTTCTTTTAATATATAGATGTCTGACCTTTACATTCTAATCTGTAGACCGTTTGACAGAAACATATGTTTATAAGTTGCAAGAAAAATCATAATATATTTAAATTGCAATCAAAACCCCAAAATTGATAATAAGACTTACAAAAAATAAGTTACATAATCATATGCACCTGTAAACAACGGTAAATAAAGCTTCGGTACTCTTCGAAACGCTAATGAACACCATTGTTTAGTATGGAAAAAATACACTTCTTCATGTTGAGAATACTTAACGCAAAATATTTACACTAATATAAGCTAGATGTGTCGGAACGACACAAATGACCCCAATCGCTAAAAAGCTTAGAGCTATTATTAGAAGTGGAAATTTTCTAAGTCCACAGCCCCTAATTTCGGCAAAAATTAGCGGATCAGGACCAAACGTAAACTCGATCTGAAACTTATCATTGTAGATTCACATACTTCAAATTAGCCTAATATGTGAAGGTGTTTAGAAAAAAAGTCCGTATAACTGTCCGTTGCGGAATGAAAGACTGAAGGAGTGACGGAATGACGGAATGACGGAATGACGGAATGACAGTATGACTATATGGCCCCGATCTAAGTCAGGGAGGCCAAATGTTTTCGGTCATTTAACCGCTTTATGAATAAACAATATGTCTTCATATTACACCGTATTTCTGGTAAAGTAAAAAAGAAAAAAGTAACCTCTTGATAACTAAAAAATGGTGGAAATCAGCAAACAACAGTCCATGATTAAATTTATAAATATATAGATATATACAGGAATAATTTGTTTATCTTATTCTAAACCATTCACAACTTTTTTTGAATAAGTCTCATAATATGACCACTCAGAGGACAAAGGCACCTATTGTTTAACGATTTTATTTAGCACGAACACACATATCAATTTATCAGATGATTCAGGTAAGATTTTTAAAAAGTCGAAAAACGCGTTTTAAGTTATGCATGTATGTTTAAGTGCTGCAGGTAAAAGTATGTGAAAAGGTTAAAATTTTTCTTTTAAATAAAAACATATTTTGAAAATATTTAAAAAATGGCATATAACAAAGTTAAGGGACATATTATGGTCTTTTTGTCCCATATTAAATATATTTAGAACCAATCGTATGTGACAGAACTAATTAGCATGATGACGGGACAGATTAAGGTCCCTATACTTAATCCTATATATATTTAGAATAAAGTTGACGAGTGATCAGGAAAGCCGTATTAATCTTGCAGACAGTTGGCATTTCTATGAGTACTGATTGTGCACCACTACTCGCCGTTTTGTTGTCAAATTCATAAGAACAGAATTCATACAGATCCTTCGCAAAGACAAAATGAATAGGCATCTTCCAACGTTCTGTAATTTCACGTTTATATACATTGATGATGTCCTGTCAATAACCCACAAACAATAAATACTTACAGCTCATATATCCTATTGGACTTGATTATTAAGGATGCTACCGAGAACAGAAGATCTGCTTATATCTTGATATTTTCCTTATTATTGACACAGACAGAGTACTTCAAACTAGAATTAATCAATGACAAATGTGGTGATTTCAATGTTCCAATTGTAAACTTCCCATTTCTCAGCAGTATCATACCCTCTGTTTTTATGAGGTTTACAGAGCTCGGGTGTGTTCACACAATGCGGATTTTGGTGAACAGAGGGTGTGCACCTTAAACAAAAACTGCTCAAACTGAGTTATGTCCTAACATTTTACAGTTACAGTTTTTTGCTTGTGAGAGAGCTGTCTGCATATTCCATTACATTTTGGTCTCTGGTGGAAAGTTGTCTCTTTGGCATTATACCACATCTTCTTCTTATTTTTATAATTATAAGAAAGAATGACTGAAATCGACATTACATAATGATTACAGTCACCCACAAGAAATGGTTGACCTAAACGATGTCTAGCTCAGGTACAACATGTTTGACGGTCTTAGATCTTTAGATTTAACCGATTGTATCCTATTCCAGGATGTGACATTTTGAACTAGTGTTGATTCGCATGACGGGTGAAGCATGCATAGCAACATTTCCAGTCTCGATACTTTGGAGGTGATCCGATTGCCTTATTTTTTTTTTAACCATGTTTAATCTATTCTTAATCAATTAACGAGATTTCAATATCAGTTAAATCTTTTCTTTTAAATCTAATTTATTGTATAATATATGTAGTCCGTTTGATTTATATAAGTAATCATATACAAAAATCAAATCAAATTTGTTTAATGATTATGTTCTTCATTTTGTAAATTTATTTTTATTTGGCCTTTTTAATTTTTTTTATTCGAGCGTAGAGGACAGATAGGTGAAATATACCCATGTGTTTAGTTGTATAACAAGCGGACATGTAAAATCGGTATTGGGAGATGATTACCTGTTCTGTCCCTTATTACGGTGACATCCTGGCGTCATATTTGATGTTCTCTGAGACTTTAACACAGCTGCCATCTATCCACATATTTTGTTTTTCAATTACTCATTGGATAACAAAATATAGATACGTGTTTCAGTTCTCGCGTCTTTGCTCTAGTGATGCAAAATTCCTCAATTTCTTTGCATTGATTTGTTTTTTCATGTCAGATTTCCTTTGGCTCTTTTGTTATTTAGTAAAGGATCAATCCTTTGAGCATACTGTTGGTCCTCCTTTCATTTTCACAACAAAACACTTGTGAAGGCTAAGTCATCAACTGCAACTTTAAATCTGAATCGGGCATTCAATTTGTTGTAAGGTTACATAGAATATATGAAAAACTCTAAAGCCTTTAAAAACGATGTCCAAAGTAAAAACAAATATATTTTTTTAGGAAAGGACAAAAATATATTCGCAGTCACACAAAATGTTCTCTGTAATATATGTCAGCACGTTTTTTTTTTATTGACAACATATGAGTTACGATTGTAAATAGTCGGCCTATTCGGCCTTTAGACTAATCCCGTGGAGATAATCCTGGTGACATATTGTAAAAATATAAGCGTCAATATGTACACTTGAGTGAACCAGTTGGGAGAGAGAAAACATATTTGAGCATTTAGGAACATTTATGACCTAAATATCAAATATTATGATTGGTTGTCAACAAAAAAATAATTATAAATATGCAGTGAAAAATGAAAATAAAACTTTATATATTTTACGCTTCAGAAACGCTGTATTGGATTTACGCTCAAACACAAAAAGTTTAAAGCCAACGATGTATAAGAACATTAACACGTAAAGAACTATATGACCAAAAGGAACTGGGAGATATTAGCCAAATTAATATAAGGTCAACTTTTCCACCAGAGAGTTGGAAACCTAGTTTCTTAATAACTTCTCAATTTATCAATGGAAAATCTAAAAAGTTTTAATGGAGGCAGGATATTTCATAAGTCGCTGAACAGCTGACAACACCATGGCAGAAAACGATAGTCGATGAAAATATTAACAAGCCCACAAAACGCTATAAATTCCAAGTAATATGTTATGCATGATGTCAGTACAAAAGCACTGACTATAGCTTATGATACCCCGACAGTATCAACTTGAATAAATGAACAATCAAAATGAAGGTTTAGTATTGAAGTTTTCGTTTGATTAATATTCAATAGAAGTATGGTGACAATAATCTTTTGATTTTGATAACAAGTTAACAAGATGTTTTTACTGTGACGCTATTTAATATTCTTACCCAACATATGTATGTATTTCATGAATATGATATCAACATTGGCTATTGTATTACTTAATAGTTTATCATTACTCATACTGCTTGACTTATAATCGTTCATGTATAATTACAAATTTATTTCAATGGGGATTTGGACAATTAAATTCTAAAAATTGTATGCACTAATCTATATCTTAATCACATTATCAGAAGTTGAAAAAAACATATTTGGCAATTAACCTTTTGTGAATGTCTAATTATGGTTTGTTATGATTTTTAATTTCCCTTTGGGTATCAAGTAAACCAGAATATGACGGAAGTCAAAATAATCCGTTGAACAATAAACATATATAATGATGTACCTGGTAAGCATATAGTTCATTGCAGTGGGTCGAGGTTGTCGTTCATGTATCGTTTTGTGGTCGGGAACCGTAACAATTTTTAAAGTACTTTGTTCGGTAACTTCCTGGCTCTTTGTGTCGGTTGAATTATTTTTTAAGTTTGACTTTTGTGAAATTTGTACCGATTTTGTTATTTTCCTCTTCCTAATTAATTATCTGTATCAATTCCTATTTTGTTTGTGTATGAAAATTGGATGTCCGGTAAAATGAGTGACAAGAATATTACTAAATTACAAATGCAGTAATTGTAATTCTTTTTGTCTTTGAAGAACAGCTGATATATCAGAATGGAACACTTCATAATAGTTGTCACAAGTTTTTACTTAACTGGTTTATTGATTGGCATGGTTGGTGGCACCAATGAATTTAGATATACAACGCATAAAAATAGTAAGTCAAGAAGAAAATTTATTTAACATGGTAAGTAATTTTTATAAGTATGACATTTTATACAAACACGTTAGGGTCATATATGCCGAACTCGATTTAAAATGCTCATCTATATGGGTTTTTTTTTCAATAAAAAGGCTCCGATTTAAAATTATGAGGGTATGCATATTGCCAACTGTATCGGGATATTACGTTATGCATCGAGTCCTTATCCTTCAACTTCTATGGTGACTTGATAACGTTTTGCAACTAAAATGAGCGACAAGATACCAAGAGACAGTCAAAGAAGGACAAAACACACGCTAGCTGAAAGCCAAATATCAAATCAGACTACGGACAAAACAAAAACTGCTCAGAAACCAAAATATTGAGCAACGTGATTCCTTAAAACAAAACTGTGGTTAAACTCTGTTTCACCGTAAGAGTAAGCAGTTCCTTTCCTGCCCTAGAAGTAACCCCCCTCCTGGTAAAATTCCGTTATAATTAATGATATAGCATCGTAGAATAATGGTTGGTTAGATGTCTCGTTTTTGACTTAAAAGTCATTAACAAATCATTAACTGCATTGACATACTATAACAGACGGGAACAATACTATATTGTTATGGGTGTTTTCATATTAATACTGTATTATGTTCAATTACATCAAGTAATCGAGACCCAATACGACTTAACGAGGACATAATGCAGGATTAACATGAAAACACCCATTTTATGACACCTTTATTAACCAATGACTTAAGATAACCACCAAAAAAATGAATGATTTGGGTTGATTATCATTTAAATGCAAGGAATGTCGTATAACCCTTAGAATTAGTAATGTGCGATGAATTACTAATACCTTTCTACTACCGATGAAAAAACCTTTAAGTTTTCGATTTCTATACGAGTTGTCTCCCATAAAAATGACGTCACTGAAGTTTGTAGACAAAATTACAACGGCTAGGTAAAAAGTCCGTGGACTAGAATGACGACGAAACAAGTATTTGATATACATCTGGTGCCGATGATAGCTTTCACAAACGGCATTTTTAGGGCCACCAATATTTAACAGAAAGAGTCTTCATTTGTTGTACATATGAGACATTTCAAGTCACAAAAATAATTTTTTGACGTAAGCGTTTTGACAATAAGTTACTATAGCAGGACATATACAACTGTTCTTGAACATGCATTTCCAATGGTTTGAAATGCCCTTTGGTATAATTAAACAAATGTGGCCCATTCGAAGCATTGCATATCCAAGATTGTCAACCCTACAATTTTCTCTCACTTCCGACTGCGCCCTCAGGAAAATAATCTTTCATGACAAAATAGTGTAATATATGAAAATAACAATAACTCTAACATCAAACTTGTTAAAATCTAATATTTCGCGTAATACACACATATATTTTCTGACACTTTTTTTAATCTAAAACAGGAATTTAAAATCCAGAATTAAGACCAGTAAAAATTCTGCATTAATCGGTTTTTCTGTATTAAACCTGTATCAACGGCCAGTTTTCAGACACTTGGAATGTGTATTAACTGGACAATTTATAATGTTTTTTAAGCCATTAGTAAATAAAATGGTATACGACATATCAATAGCATAATACCACAGCAATAAAAAGCAATATTTACAAAAATGTTTACTAAAAACGCATTTTGAATAACATTTTGGACTAACAAATATTGGGCACAAATGGTATAATCAAGAAATATGTTTCTTTTATATATATCTTTTTGTGCTAGGATCGTGTACACTCACTAGATTTTGGCAATCTATTAAAACGACTTTCAATGCAAAAATTGCAATTGACCGTCGTCGTACTAATTTAATACTGGGAATTTCAAACAGAGCAACATGCCTCCAACCTGTATAACAGTCACTACAATTACATATCACGAAAATGAGTAGCATTATTATCATTTGTTTTTGCAGTTTCTGTTGGAAGATCAATGAATACCAGCATGTGTGGCGTATTTGCCCTTACAGAAGATGGACAAACATTCCATATCTCTTCCGATGGATATCATATCAACCCTCCGTGCTCCATATATCTCGCCGGTGTGAATAGAGTTAACAGCACTTACAGATTTTCCGGCATGTGCTTTAAAATGTCAGATATTGCATTACCATGTGACAAAAACGATACAATTATTATAAGAGGATGGTCGTTGGATATCCGTTATCAAAATCAGTCAGTATCTCTGTATATAAATCAAAGCATGGTAAGTATATGATAGTTCTATGATAATGTTTCTATGGTAAACCGTTCTCATCCAACTATGTTGAAGCAATTTATAAATAAGTTACAACCTTAGATTTAAAAACAGAGTCTTAGATTAAAGAAAACATCAAACAAACACACTGTAAAAATAAATATAACACATCGAAATTTAAAGAATAAACAACACATACTGATAGTTGAAATCTATGTACACATTTTATGACACCACAAGGGTAAGATTTCATTGTATCGTAATCAAGATATTGAGATTAGAAAGTGCTGCTGGTTATTTTGCAATATAATTTCCTGTCCCAAGCTATGAAAGTGTTTTTTCCGTTGTTAAAGGCAAAGCTTAACTTTTATATTATATTTTATATTCATATTTAATACATTTTCATTGAATTAAAACATTATATTTTCCATTTGAAATTAGTTCTTGTCACAATTGTATGACAACACTCAAAGACATTGATAAAGCAACTAGTGATTAGAAAGCTGGGTTATCCGGAATTTGTCCATCGCCGGTAACACAAAATTCTGAAGTGTTTGTTCCGTTGTTTTCCTCTTATAGTTGATGTGCTTCCCTCGGTTTTGGTTCGTGACCTGGATTTGTTTTCGCTTAATTGATTTATGACTATTGAACAGCGGTATACTACTGTTGGCTTTATTTGAAATTAGTCTTCACATTGATTTTTATATATCCTGCTATTAAAATTCTTGGTTTAAAAAAAAATAATTAAAAGACAAGTTTCTACCTTTGAATAAAGAATACATAATTTGGTTCATAACATCTTGATTAAAGTGCAACGTAGCCTCATAATCTCTTTTATTTTATCTTATTTCTGTCAATGCAATGGCATAAACAGTTTTTAGTTCCGTAATTGGGTGGAATTTACTTGATTTCCGATTGCCTAAATTTTATCTGGTGAAAATAAAGCTCACAAAAAATTTGGACTACCTCAAAAACTCTTCTAAATGGGAGACTATTGAAATGTACTCCAAAATAACCTTTAGTTTTGAAAAAGTCACATTCATGGTGTACTTTAGGCAACTCTTGATATTCATCTCACAGGAAAAAACATCGGTCTTAAAGAATAAAACTGCAAATCGAAATTGCAAGAAATAAATCAACGTCAGATGTTTTACTGTATACATTTGTAGTTTCAGGAAAGTAAGGCTTTCTATTACCTGTAATTGTATGATTGTACACAATTTTCGTTGCTTTCAGTTTTCAGTTTTCATTTTACGGTCAAACTAGAGGTCCATATACTGTTTTCCAAAAACTGGATAAAAATATCTCTTTCCGTTTTAAATTTGTGTTTTAAGAAAAATATTGAAATATGAGTGCTTGTGTTTTAACATGTACATGACACATGAAAATTTCAAACTTTAATATCTCGAAAATAAAGAAAATCCCTCATGTATCTATCGTATGCCCTTAATGCTTGCCTGAGAGTAAATAATATTTTCTGTGAATTTTCATATTTATTATAGCTCGAATTTATCGATTTTTTATCCAACTTTTGTATTTGATGTTTATCATGTTTATAGAATTGATGAAACTATGTTTTCGTAGTGCAAAAATCGATAACTTTTATACATTGAACCCTTAGTTACATATTTTTTTTCAGCTGATTACAGAAAAAACCTTAAGATGTGATAATAAACAAGATTTTACAATGAACTATGAATTCTGTGGGGAGAAAGTATCGATGTTAGAGATATTATTTTACAGTCGAAACAAGCACTTCTCTGTGTTACCGAAAACTACTGTACATACGCGCGGTAAGTACAAAATGTACTGCACAGGAAACATAAAAAGCATCCCTAAATGGTAACAACGTAAAGACACATATATACTACAAACAATTTTAAACAAGAGTATGGATGATATCATATCAATAGATTTTAGAAGGTACTTGTTCTCCATTTTTTGCAAACGTTTTGCAGGTTTCATGCTAATAGATATGTAAAAATATAAGTTAGATATCTATTTTTAATTATTTTATACACTTAGATATTTCTACCCTTGGCATAGATGGCCTTAGCCAGATAAGGCAAAACTCTTTGCAACTTTGGTTTTCATTGCTCTTTAACTCTTTTTTTATAGATGTGGCATTTTTATTACGATTCCGTCAGTTTTTAATTGCTACATTGATTTGTTTCTTGCTAATCGATTTACGAGATTTGAACATTTGTAAACTAGTGTCGCCTTAATTGATTAGAACAACACTGATGAGTGGTTTGTAGAGGAAACGCGAGTCTTTTTTTACATACGTTCTACATAAGAGTGAGTGAATTAGTGGTAAGACACCTATTAGAGACCAGTGATTCCGGAAGTTTGGTAGTATAGGTTGCACTTTGTAAATGCAGATGTTTTTCAAACCACGCCACTTTTGGGGAGATATAGAATATTCATAGACAATTAATTTTGTTTACGTACTGGTTCCCGGATATGATCTCTATGTTTCATCTCAGAGAGACATAACTTGGGAATGTTACCAGTAAATATACATATTCATAGTGATCAAGTTGAAGTCTGTGGATATCCTTAAGTCAAGGTTGGGGTAGTATAGAAATTTAATGTAAGTTTAAACTCTTAGAAGTTCGGGGCATATAAACGTTGAAAATATGCCGCACAGCCCTATATTTTGACCTTTGAAAAAAATAGTAGTGCATATGAACTTTCCATTCTAGGATAAATTTTTTTTCAAAACTTCATAGTACAAGTGGAACAGTTTAAGCCGTGAAAGGAGTTCCTATGGGAAATTGCATTGTTGATATTTACAGAAATGCAACTATAAAAACAGGTACTTCTGATCTGAGCAATAATTTCCTGTATTTTTTTATTATTCAAAAGAAACTTTAAACAAGTGTTCTGCAGTGATCCCAGGTCCTTAAGCTTCCATTTGATAGCAATATAAACATAAGGAGATGTGGTATGATTGCCAATGAAACATCTATTCGCCAAAGTTTAAATAAAGTAGATGTAAGCAATAATAGGCAACCGTACGGACTTCAACAATGAGAAAAAACCCATACCGTATGGTCGGCCATAAAAGGCCCCTACATGAAAAATATGAAATAATTCAATTGAAAAAAAAACAGCCTGATTTATAACAAAAAATTTTACGAAAAACAAATATGACAGACATGAACCAACGACAACCACTGAAATACAAGCATCTGACTTGTGACAGGCACATACAGATTGTGGCGGGGTTAAACATGTTTGTGAGCGCTCAACCCTCCCCTAACCTGGGACAGTGGTGTAACAACAGATTAGCAAAGTTACCCGAATATTCTAAAATATTGTTTTTCACCAGCCCAGTTGTCAGCACATCTGTGTTGACATGAATTTTCATTGGTATGGTCATAGTTATCAATTAAATGTTTATTAAACTTTGAAGTTTTCGAAATACTTAGGATTTTCTCACCCAAGAATAGATTACCTTAGCTGTATTTGCCAAAACCTTCGGAATTTTGGGTCCTCAATGCTCTTCAACTTCGTACTGTATACGTATTTGGTCTTCTTAACTTTTTTTATTCGAGCGTCACTGATGAGTCTTTTGTTGACGAAATGCCCGTCTGTCGTACAAAATTTTAATCCTAGTATCTATGATGTGTTTATTTACAAATTGACAAGTTAAAGTTATGCGTAGGAACTATATTGTGTGAAATATGTACTACTCGCTATTTATTTCCATGGGGTTGTAGTGAGATATTTGGATTGGTTACGGACTCGTTTCTTTAAACATTTATTACAAATCCTACTAATGACGAGGTAAAGCTGATAAAAACCACCATTTAATTTAATTAGGTAAAAAAAGCAAGGTTCTATTTCTTTGTTATTCGTTCTCTCTTCAATGTGTATTGATACGTTGTTAAAAACGTCTCATTAACTTCTAATTTCGCTAACCTTAATTTGTCAATATAACGGAACTACACACAACTGTCATACAAGTAGGAGGTTTCGCTAGATATAAAACCAGGTTTAACCCACCATTTTTGTCGGAAAAGTCCTGTACCAAGTCAGAAAAATTACAATTGTTTTCCATTCTCTCCGTTGGTTGATAACGTTTTGTTTTGTCCGTTTTCTAAACTGCCCCTTTTTTGATTTACCCTGACGCTCGGTATGTTTGTTATCCTTTTTTGTTCTATGACATAAGAATGAGATCTCAGATTTCTTTCAAATGTTTTTAATTTGACTAGGACCTCGCATAATTCATAACTAATAATTTAACAATAGAAATTATTCATTTGTATATTTAAAGTAAGAGCATTTAATACTAAAATTATATCATAACGGTGAAATTAAAAAAAAATCACTTGGATAAAACCAAAAACACAGACCTTAACTAACCATTGCTTAATGCATTTAACTTTGTTTAGAAGATTGCAAAGCATAATATATTGGACAGTTTAGTGTATCCATGTCTCGGATTGAATTCATTCAATGAATGATTGAGGTCCTTTTATTTTTCTTCGTTACATTTTAGATGCGACTGAAATAGCTCAAAAACATTTGTTTTCATTACATTTTTTAGCAATAATGGTGTCAATGTATCCGGCCTTAAGTTTACATGCTATGGACACAATGAGTATACAGATGAGTCAATGCAGATGTGATGATCCCAACTGTAGGACATGTAAACCAACAGCACACGATATGTATATTGAATTCCTTGATAGAGTCATTACGATTGGCAGAAATAATAATAATAATAATAATGATAAAGATAATGATGCCGACAAGCAAAATATCGGGGAAAAAAGCAGTTCTGCTATAGTTGGTAAGTGCGTATAATCTTATGTCGTTTGTATTCACTGGTAAAACATGTGCTGTTTGAACATAATCTTGTCATGTACACAACACAATCTGCAATTTTCATTCACATATGAATCCAGATATTGATTTACTTGACTCCTTTTACAAACGCTACAGTTTTAATTTGAAAAGTAGTTTATCAAAACATTAAACAGCATGAAGATGATGATTTGGCAAAGAAATAAAGGTGGTTGTTATTCAATATTAAACAGAATTGACTCTGCTTGTCTCATGATAGTAGTTGAGTGTCTTTGAATTCATGTCAAATGTATGCAAAAGAAAACACTTTTATCTTAGTTGAATTGTTTTTAAACACGGTGCGAAACTTGTGAACTATTTCTAGGGGTTTACGTTATTTTTCATAATATATCTGATGCAACACTAATTCATACTGAGTGTGAATTCGTACGGTGAGTGATGCATGTATAGCAGCAGACGCTTAATCTGTCAACGCACCCGGTCTTGCTCCTTTTTGAAGTAAATGGTTTTTGTTTATTACCTTAATTTGTCTCTTCTGAATCGATTTATATTTAAACACCGGTAAACAACTGTCGCCTAAATTTTCTGATTCTTCGCTACTCTCGTTCTGTCCCAATGTATATATGACTGTCTGGTAAGGAAATCGTACTGTTCATTTCATAGTTTTATAATTGTTGGCATATAGTATCTGCATTATGTCATTAACCGATCATTTTCCCCAATAATTGATGGTAAGGTGTTTCAATGGTAGTTAACCCTCAATTTTATGTATATGCTTTAAATTCAGAAATGTTTTGCGATGTTTTTATTATTGCTAAAACTGCGACGGGAAATGTTTTGCAAAGTAAACTTTGCATTTAAAATGTTCATATCATTATACATGTATGTATCATTTTCTGAAATCGTATTAATTCGCATTTTTTTGTCCATTATTCAGCAATCGCAATAATTAATACAAGCACGAATTTCTTAGTTCACCACCGTTGTCCATTCGAAGATTATTTATCTTTAAAAAAGCTCAAAAGCAAACTTTAAATTGAAAAGGATACACATCTGAAGTATGAATGTTCAAAAAGACCAAACGTTGTCTTACATAATACTGGTCGAACAGTAAAAACAGTAATGCCATTATTCAATAAGTTGTTACATTAAAGGGTAATATAACAGAAACTAATGATAGACGAAATGAAGAAATGATATTCCAATATTGAAATATTCTTTTTTCCTTTTTTATTCGTTAACATGTAGCAAAACAAAATTAATTTTTCTACAACAATGAAAATTGAGCGGGAACAGGTCAAGCATCCTTTTAATATCAATTTACATGACAACTTGGTTTTCTACGTTTTGATCACGATGACGAAAGTGTCAGTTTAAACTGGTATTTTTGTGAGTTGACGTAGAAGGTGCTTCCTATATTTCTATCATTGAATTTTTTAATCAATATAATACGGGATATGCAGGGTCCAATCTATACTTGGACCGCCAAAATCCTAATAGCCAATCAGACAAATGATTAAAGTTTAACCCCCATGAATACTTATAATATTCATATAAAAGAAAGTCTATATTTCTATATAAGGAATCAATTTTGAATGTAAATTATTTCACCTCAGATTTAATATAGTAATTAAATACCAGATTTAGATGATTTTATACAAATACAAATAGTTCTAAAAATCACTCTGCTACATTCTAGAATAATTAGGACTTGTACATGTGTAGAACGTCATTGATAGTTCACATTTCAACAATAATTACGAGGCATTCTATAATTACGATTTATTTACCCCAAATATGCAACATTTATGACTGCACGTGCTGTCCATGAAAATGTTTAACAATGTGAAGGAAAACAAACAAAAAACTGAATTTTTCTGTCTTAATTCAAATTATAGTATAAAAATATAACTATAAAAAGTGAATACTTCTTTGATGGAAATCTAAAGAGTTGTAAATGCGATGATCGAGTGTAAAAGCCCTTCATATAAAATGCACTTCGGTCTACGTTTTTCACCACCAACAATTAAAAATAAACTTATTAAATTCTAAGTCCCTGGTGGTGTCACCGGGCCAGAAGCCATTACTCTGGTAGTGGCATAAAAATACGGATATTATCTTAATGAAATTGGCTATGATATTGTTTTAGAAATCATTCTAAAGTAATGTATTTTCCACATCAATACCTATATTTCCCTTTCCGGAATTGACTTTACTATTTTATTTTTTTTTGCTTGTATGAAGTCTTCAAAATTGAGAAGTTTGAATTAGGTTTTGCTTTTCAAATAAAATTGTGGAAATGCGGATCTGGTGCAGTATAATTGGTTCCTTAAATGATATCAACTAACAATCATGATTGATGTTTCATTACATCACGGGGTTTTACGCAGAACCTATGATATCGTAAAAACGGGAACGATCATCAAATAGTACATTTCTATGTAACATGTGTCAATTTTTTTTTTTTCATTTTTTTTTTTTCGTTTATTTTTGTAATTCGATTATTGTTTATTGATTATTTTTCGATATACACTGCACATATTTTCAATTTTTCTTTTTTCAGATCTGAATATTCTGCTACCTTCTCTGTTTGGTTCAATGGCAACTCTTGGAGGAGCAATTATAGGAGCCATAACATGCAGTAAGATAAATATTAATAAAAATAAAAAAAATAAGAATCAGTTATAAGAGTGGTAACAAAAAATACAAATAAATTATCATATTATGGAATTTGGAGTAAAATATAAAGCATCAAGTCCTTGCTGGAATTAAAAGCATGAAAGACTTCAGAAATTTCGTTTTCTTAACCATCAAATCACGAAAAACAAACTAGCAACAGCATCTTTAAAACTGAATACTGAGTCACACTAACCCACAAGAAAACCCTATGTTAAATGCAAATACTCATGTATGGCTAGCTTTTCTGCAATAAACGATCGCCTTAAAAGCAAAAAGGATTATAGGATTATAGCTCCGATATAAGGAATTATTATGTAGTAACTTTGATACAAATTTCATTACATCAACTTATTGATGATAAATAGGAAAATATCTGTCTTTATAATTGAAACATACTTTCCTCTACGGTCTATTAATTCGATTGAATTTGTACATCTTTCAATGATAACCACCAAATATGTTTCATGAAAAAACATCAGCTATTAATCAGAACAAAATATGTTTAAAAGACATGTCTTACTAAAAGAAGAATGGTAGTAAGAATCTTAAAAAGACGTTCTAAAGAACATATAGTCGAACCTGCCACAGATCATTTAGCATAGGAATTGTTGTGGGGATTGAAAATTAAATATGAAGAATATTGAGTCTTTTGATTCATGTAAATACAAAAAAGGATATATTTCTGATTTTCTTAAATATTCCGTGAATGATGTAGGTATGTAAAAAGTAAAATAACAAAAATACCAAACTTCAAGGGAAATTCAAAACGGAAAATCCTTTATAAAATGGCAAAATTAAAAGCTCAAACACATCTAACGAATGGAAAACAACTGTTATATTCCTGACTTGATAGAGACATTTTCTTATGTAGAAAATAGTGGATTAAACCTGGTTTTATAGCTAAAACCTTCCAATTGTATAACAGTCGCATTGAATTCCATTACATTGACAACAAAGTGTGAGCAAAACAAACAGACATAATAGGTAAAAACTTCAAACATTGGGGTACAGCAGTCAACTTTGTAATGTAATCTTAATCACTATAAAAACAAATAACTGTATCAACAAAGAAACACAAAATGGCATATAGACAAAGTACATAATCAAAAATGAAAGACAATAATTCAAAATTGACCATACTACAATAACACAATGGCCGGTTGTGTTAGTATCGAGCCACGTCATATGTATATAATCAAAAATGGACTAAATAGTATAGGTTAAAAATATACAGGACATAAAGTGGATTCAAAGGGAAAAATATAAAACCATGTCCAACAAAACAGACAACACCATGGCCAAGAATTAGATACGACAAAAAGAAACGCCAATATATAGTTAAAGTATATACCGAAATCCTGAGATTGAGCAACACGAACTTGCATGAAACTCTAATTTGTGCTGTTCCCCTTAAAACTAATGTTTAAGCTCATGACGCGTCTCTGTGGAATATTGTGTCTTGACGGTACGAGGCATCGAGTCTGGTTCTCCAATTGAGACAACTAGTTAGAGATGAGACATTGTATATAACATGGTTAAACGACGAGTCATGTTGAGGACTTTAATTAACCAAATAGCATCAAAATACATCATCGTGCGGTATATTGGAACTGGCGTATCTATTTTTTAAGAATAGCATGCGGACTACCAGACGCATTGTACAAACATTCTAGGAAATAAATCACAAAAATACATGTACGTGTGACAGTTGCCCAATCTGATTAAACTATAAAAGTAACTTTTGGAAATCATAGTATGAATTTGAACCATGTACGATTTTTACTCGTTCGTTTCAAGCGTGAACTCGATTTCGACGTGTGAAAATAATGTTGATTGAAATTTCTTTATTGTTTTTCATTAATGACAATTTAAGATTAAAACTTACAAAAGGCTATATCCTGGATGGAAAATGTAAATGTCTTTTGTTTGATTTCTTTATACGTTGAAGGGCAGCTGTTTCAAACGGCGATATCATAGGCATCGTATGTAATTGTGCAAATTCGAACAGAATCAAATCGATTACGTCTATAGGGATGACTATTTCATAATATGATGCCTGAAAGAGGATGAAGTTTTGCTTGTTACACTTTTGCAAGAAATAAAGGAATATTTTGTCATAGTCGTTGTCGTCTTTATCTATATTGCAGATTCAAATACAAGATAAACATTCTGAAAGAGTGATGATCCATAGTAAAGTCGCCAAAACGTAGTTTTTGTCCCTTTTCTTCTTCTTCTTATTATTATTATGTCACCCCTGTGTAAAAGGGGGGACATATTGTTATTCTACGATTTTACATTCCACTTTTTTTGTCCAGCTTAGTTCTCGGAGATGACTTGACAAACATTGATAAAGTTGCATCATAATGTGCATCCCTATGTGCAGATGTGATTCTTCTCTTACTGACCCCTTACACTGTCCTACCATTTTCTTTGAAGCAGTAGAGAAGGGAAACTTATATTTGTTATGGGTATGGGTCTTATTATAGGGGTTGCAGAACCCACCGTTCATGATACCAGGGTGTCCAATTGGCATAATTTGGGGGGTTCAAAGATGGGTGGGGTCAAAAATATTTACATGCTTTAAATTCGTGCTTTATGTAGAGGAGTTGAATCAAGATTATTTCTATGAATACTTAGAGACACATGTCCGTTTAAAATGGAACATTTTTCATTTCAGCTGGGGGTCTCCTTGGCATAAATTGAGGGGGGGGGGGGGAGGGGTCAATTTTCATGGAAAATTCTAGAACATTAGTGTTGAATTAATGCTAGAGACATAAAATGTTTTATGATGGTGTATTATCATGAGTAGCACAATATCTAGCAGCAGTTTGACTTTGGAATTTTGAAATGACCGCACTGCAAAAATGTGAAAAATTTCAAAATGCTTCAAACTTGATGACACTCAACTCAAATGTTGACTGGCATACATAGATGTGGAACTTGATTTTGGAATTTCCAAAATGGCTGCAGTCACTATGGAAACTGCAAAAATGTGAAAAATTTCAAAATGCTTCAAACTTAATAAAACTTTATATGAACGTTGACTGGCATATGAAGACGTGGTATTTGACTTTGGAATTTCGAAAATGGCCACCGTAACCATGGAAACAGAACAAATGCTAAAAATTGAAATATGGTCCAATCTCTATGAAACTTGACAGTAATGTGACCTGTCATGTGTGCTTTTGACTTTTGAATTTTAAAAATGGCTGCAGTTACCATGAATACAGCAGAACAATGGTTGAGGGTCAGTTTTGGCGACTTTTGTGTTAGCATCCTAATACAGGATTACTTGGTACAACTTATGTTTGTCCGTATGATCGTCTAAGCAGCAACACGCGTTTCTTAAGCAGCAGCGACGCTACATTAGCACCAGAAGCAAAAAATCAATCTCTTCAGCATGAGCAACAGGAACGATATTTTTTTTTTAATCATCCATTTACCAAGATTACATCTAGAACGAAGTCCTGCAGAAAAACATTTTAATGGAAGATAAGTTTCAACAAGAACATGTAATGGGGGCTCCATCTATATGGAAATATTTAAAAACAGTTATTCCACATGTGACATCTGTCCACCGTATCCGTTTCGATAAAAAAAAAGGGACGAATTTTATATTCCAAGGAAGAGGAATATGATAATATTTGGCGACCGGATGTCGACAACGGACAACGATTCCATAATAAACGTTATGTTTGCTGAACGTAGTCTTCAAAGAATTTATCACTAGTGGTTTGATTATATTACTTTGAATTCTGTTATAAAACTACCTAGAGACGAAACTGTAACATTAACTTGTGATGTTTAACAATTCTATAGATCGTCAACTAATCAAGACAACAGATAACATATGTTACTGTCCAGGGCGGACCTCTTTGTACGACAGTTTGAGAAGGCGACGAGGAGACTCTTCGAATTCTGCTTATAGACCTAAAACTCAAAACGTTCTACTCGTTGATATTTCGCACTGATGTCTTGAAAATCGGCAAGGCATCGATGCCCATTCCGCAGTAGCTGCGTGAAATACAAAGAAATAGATGATGCAATATTACCAACACAGACGAATACTCGCTCGATCATACACCAAGCTTCGAATTAGGTAAAATGAGATTTCAGGGCTTCAGGATTGCAGATATTTTGACTGACTTTTCTTAAGCAAAAGTTCGGATAGAAACGACAGAAAACTCATTGTTGTCGTTTTATCCCTGTTGTTAACTTCCCAAATTGGCATCTGTTTTCTGTTTACATAACTTATTCAGAAAATTTCATAAACAATTATTTTCTGATTAAATTGTTGATAAAGAATACTGAGAAATGGTTATACTTTCTTTTTTCATTTTACACTCACCAATCAAAATTTGGAAAAGACTGCAAAGTCCTGAAAGTATTAGCACATGATTTTGACTACGAATAAAGATGCAATAATGTTTACACATGAGGCAGTATTTTAAATCAATACAAGAAAACTATCTACAAATAGAATACTTACATTCTAGTATGATAACTAGAAACATTTCACATACGGTTGGACATTTCATCTTTTAGCATATATCCAAAAAAAATATAGCAATGGATCTTTATTTGGCTACTACATAACACTTTTTCAACACGAGAAACTATCTATCTAGCACATGGGATAATGTTTCCGTGACCTTGACCTGACCTTAATTCTTTATATGTGAAAAGCAATATCTTGTTAATGATAATGTATTCTCTAATTTTCATGCTATTTTCACACGTCTCGATCGGTGTGAGAACAATATTTCTCCTCTCTAGAGGAAAATTTTGTTCTCGGCAAATAATTTGGTTGAAATATCAATTATGACGTCAAATTTTCTTGATTTCATCTGAATTTCCTATTGTGACGTCATGAAAATGCAACCATGTCTGATGACCATGTTTAGATATCGTCAGAAAATCATTAGAGAAACAGATTCCACCACTATGTCTAGTTTATTATGATAGTTCTCCACTCTAAACAGTTAAATTCTAAATATTTTAAATGATCGGCAAGCCTCGTGTTTTAAATTTTAAAATTTATCTGTCTCGAGTGTAGAAATATCGTAACACACTTGATGTAGTAGTGGAATCTATATTTTTTATTCATCATTTCTGTCAAATGTTTGAAGAGGAATATATAAGTTCTAGCATATAAATCAAAGTTGAAATGTTTTTGATCGAAACCTCGAAAAGTTCTTCACGGTTTTCGTCATATATAATCAGTCGAGATGGGTTTTTTGTCTACTTAAACCCTTTACCATCCGGTGTGACTCATACTTGCTTCATTACCCTATTTGGATATATGACGTCAGTAGGGGTTATTACACGGTATTGTCAAGCCACCTCCGCCACGGCGTGATGAGTTTTTTGGAGAACCCTCGTTTTCCGTATGACCAAAAGGAACATTTCAAGCCTTACGTAAGGAACGATCATACATTGACCGAATACATAGGTGTTATTCATGCTCAAGTCCGGTGATATCAGCAGTAGTTCAGGATTTGTCTCATAAGTTTGCACAAATTAAGTAAAGCATACTACTCTCTTTCTTAAATATAGATAACAATAAATCAATAGGTAACAAATTTATCTGATCTATTCAATAAGCCTGAAGACACTGCTGAAACAACATTATCGACTTTTCATATTTGGTATCAATTCTGCTTAACTTTGTGTTTGATTTGACATCCAATAATTTGATCGAAGATCAAGTGAAGCGTTTACCAAAAATATAGGTAGGTATCATAGATTGGTGACAGTCGTATATATCCATTTCTATAGTTCTTCTGTTTAGTGAAATCAGAAGGTACAGTTAATATCAAGATAATGATAACATAAATCATTATCAATTATTGCAGTTTTAAGTTATATTTTTTTTAGGAAATAAGGGAAGAAAAGCAGAAGACAAAGTGACATTTAAAAGGTATATTTTTGAATATATTGTTTACTCAATATAAAATATATATAGATATATAGATATGGATATAAAGTTAGATATGAGATTACCTTAGCTGTATTTGGCCAAACCTTTCGGAATATTGGGTCCACAATGCTCAACTTCGTATTTTATGTTGCCTTTTTTACTTTTTTTATTCGAGCGTCACTGGTGAGTCTTTTCTAGACGAAAAGTGTGAAATCCTGGAATTAAAGATGAGTCCATGTAATTTAATATCACTTGTGTTTTTCTTTTTCATAATGAAAGCTCCATTATCTAAGCCGTCTGTCTATTCACTGGCGCCTTTCAATTTATCGATATAAGGCAGCAAGCAATCATCTTAATTGGGGCATGATGTTTTTAAATAAACTGTTTGATTCTAGATTTTTTTTTTTAAACAAGTTTAAGAATGGAGGTGAAAACAATAGATTACTTCTTTTGAAAATTTAAAAAAAATTGACTCTTTGAGAAAATCGTGTTTATGATTGCTATTTGAAATACGTTAATTTGTTATATCAATTGAAAAGAAATTGTCCAGAAAAAAGCCATTGATCCAAAAAAGTTAAATAGTCATTGCCTAGGTATACTGTAACACAGAATTGAAAATTTTCTTTCTGAAACTACTGAACAATCTATAGCAAAGACATAATTATAGGACACAATTTATTTGTATTCACATCTATAAATACAGCTTGAAAGACCTGATTTATTTCAGAAAGTTTCTTTTCCAACAACAAATGCAACTAAAAAAGTTATAGGAGCAACGATGTTTTTATCGTCTTCTACCTTAAATTATTCAGCAATACCGATATCGTTGAAAGTTGAGTAATGAAAATCTGTTATTGTTCTGTTTGTGTTTTAAAACATATGTTATTAATTATTATTCGTCTTGTCTAGATATTAAACGGCAACAGAGATTTGCATTTTTAATTAGTTATTCAACGAATTGAACATATCCGTACAGACGACAAACGATAGAAATGTACCGATGTGGTATTGAAACTTGTTGTGCATTCATTGTAATCAAATATGTAATATGTATACGGACTGATTAACCACCTTTAACATGAAAAATATGAACTTTAAATATTAAATTAAAGAAGGTTGTATGATTACAAATTGGCATGAACTGATTTTGATTTAATATACTCATCAACGGAAATTTTGTTTGTAATTTAATGAAATTATGTTGCATTTTGCATTCTTTACTCAAGAAATGTATGTTTTTTCAGTATTCATGTCATGTTTAAATGAAAATTAAATGTACATGTTCAAAAAGACCATAACGAATATTTGAAGCATTTTCCAGACCCCTTCACTTCAATACAGAGATTAGAAGAATTTGATTCTTAAATTTACCGTTGTTCCTTTATTGGACTATTTTGCAAAATACTGAATACCATTTTCAAAAACAACTTGTTTAATAGGATATAAAAAGAATAACGAAATGTTTAACATGTTTTTAACTTAATCTTTGACCGACCCGTATACGTAGCCGACTAGATCAACTGAAGTTTTTCCTATTCAAACAATTTCAAACATAGATCAAAGGACTGGGCTTTCGATAAACTGAACAAAGCCCTCGCTATTAAATGCATTGCCTTAAAAGATTTCATATTTATGATAGATTGTCAACACACTGATGAGTTAAAGAAGAGGAGAAGACAGTCGTAGATCCCAATTTTTACTTCATACAGGTAAAACATTAGAGAAGTCAAAACTTCATTAAAAAGATAGCAAGAAATAAGCAGTGATTAGCAGGGAGCATTTTCCTTCGGGTGAATCAGATTTAATTGGTTGTTTTTTAGAATCACGTGTCGTACGTATTAAATAGGCTTCAAATTTTCATATAGTAGAAATGAACAGAAAAACAGAAATTGATGCAAATCAAATTTGAAAAACTGTACTTCGTGAAATAGTGTCAACTTCTAGCAAAAAGTATAATAACAAAACTACCGAACTCCAAGGAATATTCAAAACGGAAAGTCCCTTATCAAATGGCAAAATCAAAAGCTCAAACACATCAAACGAATGGAAAACAACTGTCATATTCCTGACTTGGTACAGACATTTCCTTATGTAGAAAATGGTGGATTGAACCTGGTTTTATAGAATTTTGACTGCTTTAAACTATGATGAAATTTTTGTTTCATGAATAACAAGGATATATTTTCTGTTTACCCTTGTCAGAATCAAGACATTCGTTCCTCGTTAATCAATAATTGCTTTTTTTGGAACAATTGTATTGAAGATCAAAAAAACAATTGTGTAAACTTCTACCTGAGTTAATTGATAAAATATCTTTTTTTTTTCGAATACGATAAGCATCCTGTATGAATATTTAGATAATTATGCATGTTTCTATTTGTATTTATTCCATTTTAAAACTGGTAAAACATACAAATTATGCATTTCAGCTAAAAACAATGAAAATAGTAAGTGACAATCACTCAATATTCATGGTATTGGAAAAGAAATGTACAAACTTTAACCAATTTAACATTTGTGTATTAAAACATATCTCTTTAGTATGTACATGAGGCATTTTACAATAAACTGATTTTGAATTATTTTAAGATAACTGTTTGATCAAATGTTATTTTGCACTTATAGTAAGCATGTACTACTGGTATGACACAACTAAAAAAAACTTATATGCATGTGTCCACCCCTTTATATTTACATTCACGTATTTGCGACAGATAGGTTAGATGAGAGAAGTAAAAGAAAACATGTATTTGATGAAATTTTGTTCTCAAGACATGATTTTGAAGAATTATATTTTCTGATGACAATAACTTGCTAAATTCCAGTTTTTAATTAAAGATATCATTTAATGAGAAAGTAGTCTCATCATTTTTTTAATCAATTTGTCATTTGCAAAATAGCAAAATAGACTTTATTTTCATAAAATATTTTTCGTTTTCACCGGTATTTACCTCGAAGTTTCCTTTACAGATCATTGCAAAAATAAAAATAACCCATCTTGAAATTGTACCCATGTTCAGTTAGTTATTAAACTACTATTAAATATTACCGATATAAGAGCGATCAAGGAAAAAAAAGAAATAAAAGCAATGAATTGTATTTGTTATTACATGGTCAATAGTATGGGTTTAAGACATTCAAAAGGTATTTACGAGTGAAAGTCAAAATAATGCTAAGTCGTCAAAGACTGGTCTACTTTGTGTAGAGAATATGTTATATGCAGTTAGTTTTTTAAGCAATTGAAAACTAGAAAGTGGCTCTGCGTTGTGCGTCTCGTGTGTCTTTGTATATTTCAGGTAATTTATGTTGTTTGAACTTTATCATGTTTGTGTAGGAAATTTTTCTTCATGATTGCTATAAATTCGATCTACAGGATCTTACAATGTATTTTAGATTCGTAATTAAAACATGTTCCAATATAATATTCACTTTACGTATTATTGTGTATGCATTATGTGCGCTTAGTTAAAAAGTAACGACTGATCAGTTAAATTAGCAAATTTAATTTTTTTCTTGATAATTGTGTTTTTATGATAACTATGTTTGTAGATATTTTTTAAATAAACAAAATAAATGTATTTGTTTACCAATATAGAGTCATACACGATCATTGAATATGGGCATTTTCAAAGTCATATCTTAGCTGGACAGGTTTTTATGCTATCTGCCGAAAATGAATTTGCATACTTAAATAATCACTAAGTGGATTCGTATAAAGTTTGCATATATATTTCGTAGGGACAACCATACTCTTGAATCTTCGTTTTTTTCCTGCGAATTAAACAAACTTGAAATAACATTTTGAAGTTCACTTTGGTTTAAACAAACGTTGAGTTTTTGATAAAAAAAACGTAGAAGTAAAAAATTAAGAATGAATAGTGATCTGAGGTATTTATACAGTTTCAACCAGATATGTGTCAATACAAAATAACAAGTTCGAAATCGTCCAAAAATAAAAAAGTTGTTTATAAACAAACAATAACTCAGGCAATAGGTTATTTTATTGATATTTAAATTCAATTATTCTGCATATGCTTCTTATTTGTTTGTTTATTATCTGTTAGTTTCATTTTTTTGGGTTACATAAATGTGTTTCTCGTCCGAGATTGTAGTAAAACAAATTGTAAAGGCGAAAGTTCGGTAAAGGCCATATTTGACCCCGATTTTTAAGTTCAATATTTCAAAAGAAAAAATGTTTAGGTTGATGGAAAGACATGTGAGACAGTTTGGTAGAACTATTTTTGCCAAGTTGTATTTTATAGCGCTGATTTTTACATCTCAAAAAGAGATTTCACCGAAATTTGACAAAATCGTCCGGATTTCAACCAATTCAAAACCTAGGAAACATAGAGCGCACGCATCGACAAACTAAATATGCAAATCAGATATGCAAACGTCAGGCTAAAAGATCTTTTTTGTCGACGTATGTGCACTATGTTTACTGTTTAAAATAAATCGAGTGACTATTTTAAAAGTGTTTTCACTCTTCAAAAATACACACATTGGTCGATAAAGGTTAAAAAATTGGGACAGACATATCAGCGTTTAATATACATGAAGTTACATATATGTTAACACTGAACGTGAAGCAACCAACAATTAGTAATTCATATTAGTTAAATCCCCAATATGATCACTTTGCTATTTTATACTTGGATACATGAAAATCTAATTCGTACAAGGCGCTTATCTTTTTTGCTTGCATGAAATTGATAAAATGCAACTAAAATCCTATACGTTGCACTTTGTAAATACAGCTGTTGCACAAACCACGCCTTATGTTTACGTACTGGTTCCCAAATATGATCTCTATGTTTCATCTCATAGAGACATAACTTGGGAATGTTACCAGTATAAATACACATGGTAGCGGCGAAAATTGAATTCTGAAGAAGACCCAAAATAAAGGGAGGGGTAGTACAGAATTTTAGTGTAAGTTTAAACTCTTAGAAACTCGGGGCATATAAATGTTGAAAATATTCCGCAAGGCCTATTTTTTGACCTTTAAATAAAATAGTAGTGCATTTCAACTTCCCATTCTAGGATATAATTTTTTACGAAACTTCATAGTAAAATTGGCACAGTTTTAGCCGTAAAGGGAGTTCCTATGGGAAAATGCATTGTCTATATTTACAGATGTGCAACCTATAAGGTGCCAACTGACAATTTTGACCATGTTGATTTATTTTCAAATCTTATTCTGTTGATCAGTTTGGTTATTCACAGTCTCTCCCTACCTACTCTAGCTTCTGCAAAAAAGAAAAAGGTCGTAAAAATCGTCATCCAAGGGCAATGCAGACTTTTAGAAGGATGTTAAATGCTAAAAGTAAATACAGCCCAGTTAAGTTTTTTTGTTATTTAAATTGAAGTGATCTCACAAGTATATGAAATATTTTCATGATTAAAAAAAAAGAGTAAAATAACAAGAATACCAAACTTGAAGGAAAATTCGAAACACACAAAGTCCCTTATCAAATAGCAAAATTAAAAGCTCAAACTCATCAAACGAATGGAAAACAGCTGATGTGTTCCTGATTTGCTACAGCCATTTCCTTATGTAGAAAATTTTGGATTAAACCTGGTTTTACAGCTATCTAAACCTCTCACTTTGCAGTCGCATAGAATTCCATTATATTGACAACAATGTGTGAGCAAAACAAACAGGCATAATAGGTACAAATGTCATACATTGTGGTACAGCGCTGTGTTATAATCTCTTAATCACTATAAAAACCAAACGAAAAACAGAATTGCATATAGACACTTTATAGACAAAGACTATAAGCAAAAATGAAAGACAAAAATACAAAAAATTACCATAGCACAATAACACAATGGCAGAAAGTATAAATACCGAGCCACGCCAAAAGGATATTATCAAAAATGGACTAAACAGTAAAGATTAAAAATATACAAAGACAAATGAAAAGAACACTATATCACGTCATTAAGGTGAAAGGCAACGTCAGTGCCTAGAATCTATATTTTAAGACGATTCATGTATTATTTGTGAGGTTGATACGGAATATTTATCAACAAGGTCTTTTTAGAAAAAGTACATAACCCTGGTTCATCAACTTTCTGCTCAGACACTGATGACGTTTAGTAAAGTCTGAGTAGTAGCTGCAAGATCTTGAATACCGAATGTGTTGGGAAATGTATATCCAATATGCAGGGGAAGTTGGTGTATTGCTGCTAAGATGGGGGAAATTCAAACAACTGTCTTCGGTGTTTATTAGTTTATCAAAGACAACAATGAGTAGTATATTATATCATTAAAAAAAGTCTTTCATAATTGATTCATTTTCTGTTTAATAATACTTTGACACATGTTAAAACAAAAGGATCAAAGGCGATTATATAGCTTACCTGGTATTTTTACATAAAATATATACCAAACACGTCGACTTACGATTTCGGGAAATTTCTTTTATTTGTAAATCTTATTATGCTGATCAGTTTGGCTATTCACAATCTCTCACTATATATCTACTTAAGTTTCTGCAAAAAAAAAGCGCAAAATGGACAAAGCTCGTCATCGTAGAGAATTATTGCCTTCAAAGATTATTAAAGCACTAGAAAGGAAATCGCTTACGCGCGGGTATGACAGACTCTTTCAACAAAATATTTATCACTACAATTGAGTTACTTTTTTTTCTTATTTCAACATAAATGAATTTACCTATATATAATATATTTTCATGATTCATTGTTGGTGTTTATCATTTTGATAGATTATAACATGGTAAAAACAGAAAAACACAAGTGGAGACGCCTTGCTTTGAATGAATATTTATGACGTTAAAGAATTTAGGATTAGGTTGGAAGAATTTAATCTTCCAAGTGTGAAGGTTTACCGATGTACAGCCCTTGGATGGTGTAAACTTCCCAAAATAACGTGTATGGTGTAATGGTGTATGGCATATGGTGCAATGGTAGAAGGTGTATGGTGCTATGGTGTATGGTGTAAGGGGAATGGTGTAATGGTGTATGAGGAATGGTGTGATTGTGTAACGTGCGATCGGGAATGGTGTGAATGAATGGTGTACGACATTTCATTGGTTGAAACCGAAGTTCATTTTATTTTAATTTTTCGGATTGTAAACATAAACAATAATAATAATCCTATTGTTCTTTTTTCCCAGTAAAGCAAATTACTTTACTCGTTAGACTCTATGTCATATATATTTAATATACACATATTAAAAAAAAAATTTTTTTATATTCTTATTTACATTAAACAATGGCTTTAAAATTACACACTTGTGATCACATGCAGTTATCATAAAAGAAAGGATTTTATTTAAACTAGAAGGCGGATAGAAAGGTTATCCACGCATCGGAACAGTATTTTTATATCACGGGTTATCAACATCATTTTTAAAGTTGCTTCGTTCCCCACTTTTGACAGTCTCTTTATTACCGTATCACCATGGTGATACGGTCTGATTAGTCAGAGGCTGGACGTCTGGAATGTGGTTAATCTGTTAACGGTATCTCATTGGTTATAAATAACATTAAATGGCTGCATCTCAGCTGCTTCCGGGCTGCTTCTGGGGGAAGTGAAGGATATCTTAACGTCTGATTGGCTATTATTGAGTTGTATGCATTATATGTCAACGCGTCCGTAAGTGGGGTCGGATAAAAATCATGATAGTAGGCCATCGGTAGAAACTAAAATGAAGTGTTCAATTGCTATCATAATTTAAGCCAAATTTATTTCACGAAGCCCTGTCAATTTGAGCAAATTATATCATTCTGTGATGATGAAATTTAAGTTATCTTGAAATTTTGTTGCAATTTTGGTACAAAGGTGTGTAATTATGGATTATTAATGTTCTTTCAAAAACAAAACAATAATACATCTAATCTTCACTTTATAGTGCGCATTGAAACATATTTTGCTATATTTCTTCATAAACTATAATTTTAAATAGTAAATACACAAAACGTGTGCTCTATGATTAAAAATGTTATCCTCATATTTTTCATTGCTTGAACATATTGATTAGAAAATATTCAAATCACGGAATTTACCGTATTGATACGAAGATGTCCTTTCGTTTCCCCGCGTATTCACCGCTTCATTGATTTCTGATGTAAACAAAACAGACAATTGCCGATGAACAGCTGATTAGAAGATAAAAATAAACAAGGTGAGTAATATGGTTGCGTGTGTGCAAGGAAGCAAACACCAAGCATCACGGTTTAGTTATGGGCAAGGGTTTCAGTGCACTATAGTTTGTTTAATGACCCCTTTAGCTGGACGTCTACGACTATAGATAGATGAAATTAAAAAAGGCAGCAATGTCCAATGAGCAATTTGAATTAATATGCCTGAAAACCCAAGATACTTGCAACACAGCGAGGTCCCAAATGATGTTCGCATGTGGGGTAGAAAGTTTAATGTACTCGTACATGATGATTTATTCTTTGGAGTCGTACACCCCAGGCGGATCCAAAAGGGGGGCTGGGGCCGCCCCTCCCCTTGGTTGATTACATAGGCCCCCCGTTTATGAAAAGTTCTGGATCTGCCACTGTACACAGTGGCGCTCAGCAGTCATTGTTAATTGATATA